TAACACCTTATGGTTTTAATCTACAAAAAAATCTATTTTAACTTTTTTAATGTTAAAGAAAGAAGATTGTGCTTTGCAGTAGCAAAGATTAAAAATCAGCATTTATAAAATATTATCCATAAAATATTGTTGCTCAAAGCAACAACCATAAAGCAAAAATAAAATAAAATCAACAAAAACCTCCTAATATTTACATTGTGAATTTATATAATTCTTTATATATATATCATCAGTTTTTGTATTTAAAAATGAAATGAAATTATACAATGTTAACCATGAAAATAAAATATGATCAAATTTTTAAATTTTCTTGAATATAAATATGTCATTTTTTTCTTGATCTTCATTTTGACTCTAAATTCACAATGACATCATTTTTTACAAAACAAGGTTTAAATTATTATTTAATTATAAACTACGTGCTACTTAACTTAATCATGACTTTCTTTTATCTTTGGTTTTTTTTTTATGTTTCAAGAATGTAATCTTTATGGTTTGGAACATGTACCTTTGCTGAAATGAAATCTAAACTGTTACAAAATTATTTTATTGCTGGAAAAATTGTATGTTGACATAGTTAGAGTTAATGCAAATTACTTAAATGATTCAAGAAAAAAACGTATTTTTATGACCAGGTTATTATTGTTATCAAAGTTCGTAATTCTCATTTTCAATTCAAATGTGGAAGAAAACTTTGATCTTGTCCTATGCATTACAAAAATCAAAGTTAGATTGTGAAAGAATGCAACTATTACAACAATCTACTGGTAATCATTTATGCACAAAATAAGATCTGTTTGTTTCAAGATTAACTTGTGCATCCAATTTGTTACTAAGTATGATCTCTCAATTTTTTGTAATAATCAAGGGTTCATTAATCTTTTATCACACCTATCACACCCAGAACTGATAGCCCAGATTGAAACATAGTATTTGTTCAGATCACTTGTAAAAAACCTTTGCATATAATTCTCATTCTAAACTTTCACTCATTATTTAATTTCTTCATATTTTTCTCCATATCTAGCTGAAAAACATGCAAAAAAAGTGCACGCCAAAATAAACAAAAACTGAACACAATTATGTACTCGAATCACACAAAATCAAGATTTCTCAAAATCTTATTTTGTGTTCTGTAAAAACTTTGCAGTTCATTTTCATATGGTAAAAATAGATCTAGTCAAAATTACTAAAGTTAAAGAAGACAAATTATAACTTTTAATTACTAATGTATTAAAACTCACATGATAAATTATGTCAGATTACTTCAATATTATGAATCTCATGCATTTAGATTCTAGTTATGTTACTAAAATAGAACGATATTTAAATTATATCATTTTATCTGAAATAAATTCCAAAGAAATTTTTTTTCATTCATATATATATATATATATATATATTAAAATCCAAAAATAGTTTTTTAAAAATTTCAACAATATTTTTAATTTTTATAATAATTTATTTTATTTATAAAATTAAATACATTTATAAAATTAAATACATTTATAAATTTCAGATAATAGTTTTATTACAAGATGTACATATATTTTTACGTCTTTTGTAAATGTAAGTATGGTAAATAAAAAAATTTAGGTTTTTAAAAATTTATTAACAGGTTTGAAATATTTGTATTCTAAGAACTTAACTCTCTGTATTGTTAAGATGTTCAATATAATACAAAATATTCAATTTTTATAAAAAAATTATTTTAATTGTATCTCTATAATTCAATATCACATGTATTACAGCAAAATATCGTGTTTATTTATTTATTTATTTATTTATTTATTTATGTATAATTGGTTAAAAAATTATGTTGTTGTTATGTTCTGTTATGTTGATAAAAAAAATTTACTCTTGGAAAGATATATAAATTTTTAATGATATGTTTGGTGATAACTTCTTAAATATATATTTCAAGATCAAAAGAAAAAGAGTTGATACATCTATGCCAGTGATGATATCAATGTATCTCTCATGGAAGATACATGCATAATGAGAAAATTTAATATTGAAATAAATTTGTACTTATATACTTTAGTATATATTGAGTAAGTAGGACTTATCATAATACTTCAAGAAATACATTAAAGTAAAACTATAAAAAAACACTGAATCAATTCTTCAAAAGTAGATTTTTTTGACATCCACTATATGAATTCATGACATGTCATGATCAATTAGATTTACTTGATTTTTCTTGGTTCTTAATAATTCAGTATTTTGGATATAATTAAATTGAAGATGTATAGATTTCGATTGTCTGTTTTATTATTTGTCATCTTGTACTTGATCATCATATTTCATCTCTTTATATATTGTTTTCAAATATTGTTGGATGTAGAAGGCCTTGGATGTGATTCCTTTTCTTGTGGATGCACATCACAACTCATTTGAAGAACAAATCTTTTAATGATGAGTGACTTGGATTGGAGTAAATTTCTATCACACTTTGCATATCTTTCATACTCTTCCAATGCATTCTATGGTCAAAAATAAATTATCCTACAGCATCAAATGTTATAGCTATTGAAAACCTCCGATTACCATTAAAATCTACATTGATGTATAATTTGGATTAGAATTAAAGCAAGGCATTTATATTTGTATTTACTGGTATTCATTTAAGCTTAGCGAGATCGTCTATTTCCATGACACTTGAGTCAACCATACCCTGCTGATACATCAAATGCTTATGACTTTGACTAGTCAGTTTTAATTTAGTCTTCAATTTCTTAACAATCGTCAATGATCTTAAGATCAAGCTTTGTGTACGTGAAGTGTAATCCTCGACCATTGTGACAAGAAATGTTGTATCGAGCCATTTTGAGATTATGGATACGTTCGGTCGCACGGGGTCTGGTGAACTTTAGAAGATTTTTCGTGAGGTGATAGTGCCAGATGGAAAATATCATGTATGCAATATTTTTGCTTCACTGGAGGTGGAGTTTGACATTTGCAGGTCAGAATCGTATTTCTAAATCTGAGGTTTAGGACATGTACTTGTTGAATTTATGGACACAGATTGTTGTCAGTTTGCAGTTTCATTTACATTCAACCATCATTGTAGATGACACTCCGATTTTGAGACATTTATTTTATAGCCATTTCTAAGATGAAGTGTCTGAGGTTGCTTACTTGAAGTCAAAACATGGCTAGGTTTCAGCATTTTCTCTGGCCGAAGGTGTCCCAATCTGATGGCGAGAGTAGTAATCTTTCTGTGGCTAAGTCATCGTTCAAACCTCCGGGCTGCATAGATTTATCGTGTAACATTCGGCTTTGGTGCAGACATGAAGCTTTTACAGAGTGAAAATATTGACCAGTTTTGTTTAGTTGCTCTAAAACCTAAGTGGTGATTTAGACGTTTGCACTTTGAAAGCCGATTGGAATCGACCAACCTTGACTTGGTCAAGTGTGGTTTACCGGAAATCCGTAGCATGGCAGTACATGATCACTTAGCTTGGCAACGTTCTTACTGGACACATACACTTCCTTCAAAATTTGGCCTAAATACACGATCCTATTTTTTTGGCTAGTAGACAGTTTAGTTTGAAATTTACAAGATATTATATCTTGGGCGATGCGGGTTGTTTCATACGCATACATTTGTGTAATGTACTGTCCGCGCACAACAATAATACTACTGATTTGGTACTTCCTCTTCGTAAATAATGCCTCAGGACATGAAGTTACGAACAATGAGTTTATCCTATACAATATCCTACCTAGACACAATGTATACAAAGACTTGCGTTATGACGTTTGACAAACAAATTCAACTACATGCAGTCAACTACACAGTACGTGCTAATCTTACTGAGGGGGTGTCACACCTTTGCATAATTGTAATTTTCGCAGTTTCCTTCCTGCAGCTTAAGTAGGAATTCCCTATTTATACATAACCCTGCATACCATTGTGGAGACTATAGTTTGAAGTCACAAAGCACAACAAACCTAGTTTATCAGACTGCTTGATAGAGGTGGCAACTATAGGGCAAATGTTCTAGCATATTTAACAGACCTACCTACAGGCAGTCTAGATCCTTCACCACTTAACTACTAAATCTAGATAGTTTTCCTTTCGTACAGCCACACAACTAGAAGCTCTGTACTCCAAATTTAGGTTCACCTGATAACCTAGTTATCAAATGAGTTACTGACGACGTACACTAGAACATACTCAGTACTATCACTGCTAAGGTCAAGCTCCATTAATTTCCCAAATCGTTCATGAAGTCCACGGATGATAACTTCTCGAGGGCTAGATTTGATCACTCAGTCCCATATGTGAGTAATGTGATCCAAATTTCTAACATTTTTCTCTGGTGATAATGTTGATCACAATTGTACTACAACACAAGCTGGGGGAACATCTTCACATAATTCTGCGAATCCGTGTAATGAGAGCTTTAAGCAACGTGAAAAATTATACAACTAGATTGTTCGTTACTTTCAGTTCAAGAAAGTTAAAGCCTCGTTTTATCTTCCTGCCGACATTGCTACACTAACAGACCTAAATCTTACATGACTTCGAGTGTGAGTGATTATACTAAGCCGAACAGATCTAAAGCTGGATTCCCGGGTACTAAGCGTGCTCACTATACTATATTTTTCACCTTAGTGTGCATAACAAAATAACGACACTATCCCATCCCAAAGCGTTTGAGAAACCCTTCAAGTTACTAGTCAAGACACAACCAAATCATTTACGAAAAACGTTCAGCGTCAGTTCTAAAAACAATAAAATGTTTACATTTCCATCCGTCCTACAAGAAACTTACCTGGATAGAGCGATGTGCGAGTAAGCATCATGAGTCCGCAAATGAAGATCGTGGAATGACATACACGATTACTAAAGGAACTGGTTCTCACGCAGGAAATTTCTGGGGCCTTCAATGTACCTTACTAACACAGAACACTGTACCAAGCAGGAGGAGAAACAGAAGTGAAACACAAGAAGCACCTGCCCAGTGACACTGATCTGTGAAAATTCTGATTGCAAGCAGTGAACTTAAGGGTATCACCCTCGTGTGTCATAACTCCATCGACAGGTCTTGGAAATACCGGCTTACAACTCAACTCGTGGAACACATCTCCAAAGTTTGCCCAAAATTTGAGTTTCTCCGTCTCCACCTTTGCGAATAAGATCTCGCAGACTTCATCAGCAATGAGTTGCTGTGAAAGTGGAGTTAAAACGTGCTCTTTATGTACGCGTAACACACGCGCTGATAATCTACATAAATCACCGGTATTAAATTTCAGAGGCACATTGCCATGAACTTTTGAAATCTGATCCCTAAAATTTACTCGTCATCCTCAGCCTCATTCTCCGCAATGTTGAAGTATCTTAACTCGTACGCGTTCCTATCCTTGTTGTGAGCAACCACACGCATCCAATCCCTGACGTTGTGCTGCTTCAGGTACTTCTTCGTGAGGTACTTCAGGTATCTACAACATCCACAAAGTACGATTAATACCAGTAATGGTGGGCATGACAACAACAGATACGAATGAGCATTCTATCTAAACGCCAGACACATGAACAGAGGTGAGCTACAACATATTGTTCAAATTTAGGTTTCGTTATGTGAGTTCGGGACGTCCAGCAAAGTTAGATTTAGAAAGAAATGCGGCCGGGAACTCAAGAAGGGTTTGTGGCACGTACCTCTTGGAGAAAGCGATCTCGGCGGTAACGCTGACCTTGTTCTTCTCGCGGGTGATGGTGACAGCATCTCCAAGAACACCAGCCTTTCCTCCGACCTTGATCCTGTCGTGGAGGAACTTTTCGAACGAGGCGATGTCCATAATCTTGTCCTCGACCGGCTTGCCGCAGTCGATCGTGTAAGTGGCAGCCTTCTTCTTACCCTTCGTTGCCCCAGCGGCAGGCTTTCTGGCGAGGAAGGGAGCCATGGCTGCTGCTGCGTGCTGTTCGTGCTGCTGTCCGTGACGACGAAATTCCTACTCTCGATCCGAGAACGCGAGCAAAAGACCGGACGACGTCGAACCCCGCGACCCAAATAACAAACCCTAGCCTTCCTGTTCCCTCCCCTGCCCTAATTTGCTGATTTCCTTGCCAACGGCGCACGACGCGCTCTCTGCTGTATTTCCCATATTCTGGGCCCGGATCGATTCCCGTCCGGTGCCGGAATATCACTGCAGTCTGTGACTCGGACCGACTCATCTTCCGATATCAGATAATTGCCACGGAAATTATTTTCTCACGCCATATACTCTGTAAAGGATTTGGAGGCAATTATCTCCTTCATAAGTTGGATTTGCTTCTCCACTAGTTTAGATCAAATTTGAAATAGAAAAATGGACTGGATATTATTCCTCGGCTTTCTTTGCCACTTAGTTTTAAAGTGGACTTTTGAAATATGTTCAAATTTATTAAGATGAGGAATCTTCTGTGAGTGGTGATTATAAACTGTTTTCGGTTGCATAGACGTTTTGTCTCCATTCCTTATCTAGTGTACACTGTAAAAAAATTCATTGATCTCAAAATGCACATAAGTCATATATACAAATTGAATCTACATATAGCGTTAAAATCATCTATATTGTGGAAAGGATTGTATTTTCACCATTTGAGTGACTATCTTTTAGTAATATTGCTTAAAATATTATTGTATCCACTAACAGAAGTGCCTTTTACCTTTCTTGTTTCCAATCAATACTTTATCAGGTTATTGGGAAAGTTGATTGTGAGTCAACAGTAGTAAGGACTTTGGATTTCTTTTTTCAGGTGTGATCACTTTTTGTTGCACATACATCTCATACATCGGAGGCATATGGTACCTTCAAAACCTCCCCAGTACCTCTCACTCACCATTGAAGACTCTTCAATTGAATTAATGCTAGCTTACGGGTTCTTGCTGATTCGACCCCTCTTTATCCCTCCTCAAGTCATCACAAAGTTTCTTCGTCACCACTAGAGGACTCCCAGAGTCGAGGAGGCTGTTCTCAGGACTGATGTGTGGAATTTGTATTTTCTGGCAAACCTAAAATCCTCGAGGCTTTTCGACTCTCTAAGTTCTCATCCACTTACACCTAACAGTTTGGATATCGCTACCCACAATTCCAAAATGTAAGACTTGTTTTTCTTTCTTCCTCTCTCTGTCACTAATTCGACACGTATGTAGAAATTTGAATGTCTTTTTATGAATTTCACAAAGGAATTGAAGAATTCATGGATTTCACTTTATTTCAACTTTTGTACACATCTACTTGTCAATATCAAATATAAATTAGATTGGCTTCCGTTATAGGCATTGAAATATCCATTATGGCATTACATTTCGGAATCATGTCAGAATGAAATGTAACTTATATCAAGTATCGTTAATGCATTTGTATCCATGTCAAAGAACCCTACATAAATCTGTTGAATAAATTTATTATGAGATAGAAGAAACTATATGCTTATTTTATGAAGTAACTCATATCGTTTTACATTTATTTTATGTTTTTTTTTATTTCATCAACAGCAAGTGATACACCACATTTTGTCCTTACATTTGCAGCAAAAATACTACAAATCTCTTGTATAGTTTTTGATCTTCAGATATATTCTGCCTAACATTATATTAGATATTTCTTATCAAAATCTAAAATATCTCTAAACTACTTGGGCATCCATTTTTGTCAGCTGATAAATTCAAATGATTTTCAATACCTTTTTTAATGATTATAGAAAAAATCACAAATAAAGGACAAAAAGTAAAAACTTTCAATCAATTGTAATAGATTAATCAAGCTACTTGTCAAAATTATATAATATCATAAATCCAAGTTATGATCTCATATATTGATTTTAACAAATTGCACTAGTTGTCAAAGAACTACTTATAGATGAATTTAAGCATACATCGATAGCATTGATGTTGATAATATGTGCGAAGAAAATATTTCATGTATTAATAAAAAATGACAGAGTCTCCTTTGCCTTGAAAGAAATGTTAAATTCTATTCTTATACATGAAATCTACCTTTCATCTTTGTCATATGAATAATGAAAGTTGAACATTCTCAGTATGTAATTCTTATTCAATTGTAACTATTGTATTTTTTTGATGAAAATTTACTCAAGGTAGAATGTTATATTAATGCAAATAGAAATGTAGTGCTCAAATCTATTTAAGTAGTATATGTTGTAGCTGAAAAATAATGAAAATATTTGATCAATGATTATATTTTAGACACATGCTGCTTAAAAATTACAATTAATTTTTCTTGGAATTCTTACTTTCGTAAAAGAATGAATAAGCAATATCATTAACTACAACAATGTAAATAATTATATCTTACATTTAATCGAAAATACAAAGTGAAGCATGAAAGTTTGCTATATTCTTTTCCAACACATATGCTTAAGACTTATGCTCGAAATAACAGATGAAGAGAAATGAAGTATAAGTTCAATCAGTGGTTTCATTATGTTACTAAACTCTTTCATACCGACACTTATACACGAACAAATTGCCGATTTTTTTTTGGGGTCACTTGCTACAAACATTAATTGAAAACCTTTGCCCTAGGGTAGGGGTTTGTATCCAATCTATAGAATAGTAAAGTTAGAGCCACTAACCTTGGAAGGACAGTTGGGGTTTCTTGTCTCGTTTACGTCCATGGCATCGAATCTCTTAGATCCTTTAAATCACGAGAATCATTCTAAAGAAAATGTGTATTAAGTCTATATCTCATGTTGTTAGAATTGGTATTGGTAACATCATGTTTCAACTTGGTTATATTTCTGTAACATTGGACCATGTCTTGGTCGTTACGTCTTTACAAGTTTATGTGAAGATGTGAAAGTGCTTTTTCGTCAATCTCGGATGTTTGTGCTCCCACGAATAAAATTCGTCTAAGTGTGTAAAAATAGATATACCAAGTCGAGACATATCCAGTGGTGAGAATATGAGAAAGCTATCAACAATAGAGATGTACAAATAATCAAACAATCAATCGAAGAAATTTTTAAAAAATCAAGGCGAACTGTGTCCAGCGTAGGGTGCAAGGAAAGTTGCTACAATTTCAACATTTTCCTCTCGATTTGCGCAATATCATTCAGTTTTTGTTCCCCGCGGATATTCTGCGGTAGGATGCAAATTAAATAGGGAAGAACTATCCATGCCCAATGATTCAGAGGACGTTTCAGAAAGACCGATCTCCTTGGTTGCAGAATGCTTGCAAGACACATCTTCATTAGACTCGCGTACATGTGAGTAGAAGGAAAATGTGTTCAGCCTGCACTCGAGAGCTCTTCCTGTCTCCCCAAACAGATCCTCCATGACTTTCATCTATGGCACACAGCCTTCCACCCACCCAGCCAAAACGAGTACATGTCTGCCCACATGGGTTGTGTCCCTCACAGCGAAATTAGCAACACAGCCACGGTTTTACATGAGGTCCAATTTAATACCATCGTGGCTGACCTTGCCTTTTCTTACAGATCCCGAACGAGAACCACGAAAAATACCATTCCTGCTACATAGAAGTAATTAGCACCTTCTACTCGATCCTAATCCTGGTGTGGTCCTGATTTAACTCGCTTCACTTCCTTAGCCCCCAGAAGGAAACTGAAAACGCGACTGCGGTTAACGATAGTTTGTAGGACAAGAAGGCTGCTGAGCAGGGCGACCGTGACAGAGGCAGCAAATTTGATTCCGACGGGGGCAGACCACTTTCCAAGTACGAAATGTGCAAACAGGAAGAGCGGGACTTCATGAATAATGTACACAGGGAACGCGTTGTCCGACAAAAAGGCTGGGGCGGGATGGTTCGAGAGATATCGATGAGCGGCTGAACGAAGAAAGCAAACAAAGTACCATGCACCTGAGGAGGATAAAACATGTTGTATATGCTCCGAATTGGAGAAGTAAAGTCGGCTGAAAGAATCAGGAAACACGTACAGACAGCAAGACAGTAGCCCCAATGCTCCATTCATCTTCCAGTGAAGATGAATATGATCCTCCAAACTTTTGGACAGAGAAAGACAGAAGCCAGCTATGAAAAAAATTGAGTAAAACCAGAAGTTAGCCCAGTCGTCAACAAGATTTTGATAGCCTGGCCATCGATTTCGAAGTCTCAATTGCACGACTGCCAAAAGGACGACAGGACCATTTGCCATCACCCATGTCCACTTTGGATGACCCCTTGGCCTCCCGGAGACCTGATGGGAGAGTAGCCAAAACCCTGGTAAGTAGATAGCACAAAATGTGAACAGATACACCAGAAACCAAAGATGGTTCCATGTCAGCCCTTCGAAATAATAATGAACACGTAAGAATGTGGTGAACGAATGGACAAGAGGCGAGGGACTGCCCTCTTCCGATCGTGGTTTCCACCGCCCACATCTGTATTCAACCCATCGGGGAGCAGCACAGAGGACGAGCATGCCAAATAGAAGCGGGACGAGGAGCTTCTGAGCTCTTTCGATCAAGAACTTTGCCGCTCCCCTTCTCTCCAAGGACAGTTTGCACGACCAGCCTGCCAACAGGAAGAAGAGCGGCATGTGCCAAAGATGCACAAATCGCGTGAACAGATCCAGAGAAGGTGACCTTTCTGCATTTTTGTAGTACGATTTGTTCTGGAAGTCGAAGATCTGCGCCGCGTGATAGACGACCACCAAATAGGATGCCACTGTCCTCAACCAGTCCACATCATTCGCTCGACCTCCCATCACAATGCTCTCGACGAGACCAACTCTGCAATGAGTCCTCTTCCCACCTCGAGCCCAACTGGAATGATTCACCGATGCCTTGTGACAGGTCGCTACAGATCCATTAGACCTGCGCAGCGCTTACAGTCAATGAGGGGAAAGCTAATCCGGCCCCTACACTGACAATCCGTCAACCTTGAGATGACGATCACCGGGCTGCAGAAGCCCCGTTGACATTTTCATAGCACCGTTAGTCTACATGGTCCTCCGGTATACGATCACAGCCAAACCAAGGGATGGCTTTGTATATGTTGGAAACCGATTAATAAAACGAAAAGGATGGTAAGACTCAAAGAGTGGGAATATTATCTTATGCACCTGAGACATGATGATGAATTGCCTAGTCAAAGTACCATGGCTACTTGATACTGTACTGTCACGAGGATTGAAATCAAATGGGTCTGAATACTTTTGTGCACAATAGGTGTATCCTGTAAGCTGTTACACACTGATGCGATTTGCTAGGGAGGTGCTACGGAGGTCGGTTATGCTGTCAAATTTAGGAAGGAACGATTGATATAAGACTGACATATTTTCGTTCCAATGGTTAGCGAGATCCAAGGAGGGATGAGGGTAGATGACGTGAGAGACTTCCCTTACTTTTGGCTATATACTTCTTGGTGTTTGCAGCAAAATAATAAAGAGCCATATCTGCATCTCTGATTATCCTTTTCCCAACTCTTGCATGGGGTGGCCTAGAGCAGAAGCACATCATTCCCTTGACTTCATAGCCAACAGCAGATTTCGTACATCAGGTTCTCTTTCCGTGGATAACGACGTAGGAGACAGAACATCATGAATACCATTCTCCTGCCAAACCGTGACTCATTTCTCTGGGCCCAAAGATATAATGGTGAGCCAACAATATGCTTTGCTCTACACCAAACTCAAGCTGGCTGCCAATGCACTTTTTTGGACCGAGGTTTTCCTCGGTATTATCGATTGCCTCGCATCGAAGGCAATGTCTACTTAAGACTCGAGCTCTGGAGATAAAAATTTTGGAGGGACACACTTTGACCCCGCTACCAGAAAAAGCAAGGTTTACGTGTGTACATCACGTAGCCCACATTAGTCACGGATGAGAGTAATCTTTGACTCGTTCGCAAGCTTGACTCGCTTGAAATCACTGCTGCAAGCGGCTTTGTTCATGGAAAGTCGAAATTTAGTGGCGGCAGCAATGATCTATTTATTATCATTGCTTCCTTCCTTACTCGTTCACCTCGTTTAACAGGCATTTTCAGTTCGCCCGCTCCATCGAGTTGCAGGAGCCCAAGTCCTGGACTGTCATCCGTGTAACGAATGATTAATACTGAAGGTGCAAGTTGTCTGTGTTTTGAAGAACTGATCGCCTTGCAACCTAGCCTTACCTTCTATTATGCAAGGCGACAAACGCTCACCCTTCATCGCCATCAGCACCTTCACTTGCTTGAAGTAAGATTATAATATGAATGTCATTTGCAGAATGGTTCATTGATCGACTTGAAGTTGACATATTTTCATACCAGAGTATTATTGCTATGATGTGACTTTTAGCATTAGATATCAAAGTTGTGGATGTTTTACAACTGAATCATATTTTCTTCAGACTTGTAAAATTTTTTCGTTGTTTTGAAATGTATGCACATGTGAATACTTTAACAATAGCTTCTTTATGTGAGTTACATGTGCACATGACTCTGCGCAATTTCTTCTCTTCTTTACATATGGTAAGGGTCATTTATATAGAAGCAAGTCCCTTCGTATGATGGGTAAATTATGGGCAAAGGGTTCGAGATTTTGTCTAATAAGTTAGTTGTAAAGATGGTGCCACTATGTAATTAGGGTGCAGATGTTTTATGTACATTCCAGTAGTTTTTTTCATTGTTAGATCTAATGTGAAATGTATTTTTTTATCGTAATGTTCATCATTTATTTGTTGTTTAATTTTGTTTTACAGTAGTAAATTTTTTCCAAATTTATTTGCATTTTTTCCGATTTTTCTGCGTGTATATTTTCCCCTGCATAGTTTTCAATTTTTTCCCCAGATTTTTCCCTTTTTTGGCAGCGAAATGGTCAAGCATCTTATTTATTGCATTTTTTATTTTCATTGTTCAAAGTCGATAGTAGTAGGGTTGATGGACGTTTGTATGTGCGTATAGCTTAAAAAAAAGAGAAATTTATCGTATTTTTTATTCAATTATTATGTATAATACTTTTCTATTCCAATTTTGTTCACAGCCAAGTGTTGGAAGAAACAATACTCATCTTTTCTTTTCCTTATTAGGCCCGTTAAACCTTTTCAGCGCTTTCACGATCTTTTTTTCACTTTGTTTATCACACATATCACACATACATAATTGACTTTTATCCCACAGTGATTATAACAGATACAAATTCAAACAAAAACTGAAGTACAATCTTCCACATTGGCAAACCATCTTCAACCCTGCTAGATGCGAGGAGGCACGGTGTACATTTTTTTACCCTGTCTTCTGACCACGGGCTCCATTCTGAACTTCGATTTGCACAGCTTCTAAGGGGCTAACGTTTTTGAGTGTACCGACTGCTTCAACAATAATTCTAAACTGAGTAGGCCGCTTGGAGTCCAGGACGAGATGAGTATATCATGCTTATGTACAAGTACCCATGTACGAAAAATCCCTTCAGTCAGCAGACGTTTTACTTCTTCGAAGGTCCTGCCAGATTATCCGCTGCTACCTGCGAAACACCACACGATGATACAACGTTTCTAACCATCGCATAAACTTTCAGATAACAGCGAAAATGTAGAACAGATATGGTGCAAGAATTAGCTTCTGGAAGAGAAGAGTAGTCCTCTTTTTGATTTTCTATGCCATGATAGAAAATTTGCTAGCTTGATGTGAACGTCCTTTCCATTTTTCATAAAAATCTGGCAAATTCCGTATGATACAGGCCTGTCATCACCATGTACCTTGTGTACAACATCCGACTCCGAAGCTTCGAAAAAAGATAGGAATATAAAGCAATCACAGGTACCTGTTCAATGTGGGGCAGAAATTTGCCATTCATTGTCACGACGACTCTATCTTCTCCTTCTTTACCCTTGATTTTATTAACTGTACAGTAGAACCCAATAGCCGACATACTGCAAAAACAAAGGTCATCTTCCACAGATTAGTGAGGGACCAACCACACCTCACATCGTCTTGCGACGGTGCAGCTCAATGGTGCAATGCAAGGCTGTGACAAGGTCCATACAACTTTTGATCACCACACTACACAAGAGAAGTTCCAGCACAAAATACAGGGGACACCACTCACATGCCATCTCCACACTCCTCGTTTATGATGTCCTTAATGCTTTCACCGTAGTGCATAATAGCTTCGTATAACCTGCACGTTCAAAAGAGTTCATCAGTTCCTCAGCTATCTTCCTGCTCATGGGGAAAGACTTTTGCACTAGTTTATCTTTAGGCCCAAAGTAAAACTGAATTATCTGAAGCAGATGAGAAGTAACAGGCGTGTTTCATCTCAAGCAGCAGATTTACTAAACCAGCTTCCAGTTCAAAGGAACATGCAAAAGAAGATTTTCCTTCTTCCTTCCTTGCCCATACACTGTATGATGGAATTAACTGTATGGTGAAGAAAGAATAATTCAATCAAGTTCACGTTCCTCTACGGTAGCATGGTACAATGGAGATGTAGTTTCTTCATCATCCATAAAAGCCTAGCCTGATTTAATCTTTCCCATCCAAAATCTTCAGCCCAGAAATCCCAAATCAGACTTTCAAGGCTGAGGGAGAGAAACCGTTTTTAGCATCTCACTAATCAAAACTCAAAAGCGAAGCATTAGAAGCAGGAAAACAAAGAACCCGAAGAAGATTCATGTTAATAAGAGCATTCTAGCGTAAGCCACTCTTCCGCAGCTGTCACTAGGCCAATAGAATCGTGATCAGCTTAAGAGCTACTATAGAGTTACGAGCAAAAAAGGTAGACTTCAGCTCAAGAAAGAACAGAATCGGTACCTGTAAATAGTGGGATCTTGAGTAATGGTGGGATCAAATGAACGTCGCGGAATCTCTTGCATTTCTTCCAGCATTTTGTCAGTGAGTTGGGGAACGGCTTTTTTCAAAGACTCGACAGCCGATTTCTTCAGCTGAGCCTGTCGATGAAAGAGCTGAGCCACGTACGCATTCGTCAGACCTGTGGCTTCCGCGATTTCGGTGAAAGTCTTTCCGCTCTGCTTCTTCGCTTGAAGCAGGTCCAAAACCAGATTCGCTTTCGCCTCGAGAGCCATGGTCTTGATTTCTGCCGATTCAAATCCCACAATCGATGAGTCGTCAGAACAAACAGTGCAGACCCTCCGACCTCAAAATCCTGAATCGATCAATCAATCAATCAATTCGCAGGAGATGGCAAACCCACCCACCGCGGTCAAGAGTTCTGAGGGTCGGTCTGGTCTCACAGCAACGACCGTAGGCGTCTCTTCCCTTGTAGCTCGGTGCAAATGGTCTGAACGATTCCGCTTTTGCAACACGAATGATTCGTCGAACGAGGAGATCCTCTTATGGAGCTCGAGCGCTGGGGGGTGTGGAAATCCGTATGGTGCATGGGGCCAGAGACAAGGAGCAGGTTCGGATGTCGGTTTGGTTCGGGACACTTGGTTCATCTGGAGCCAGACATCTGTACCTCCAGCCCTTGGATTATCGAAAGGCTCAGGCAGCTAATGACATCTCAGCTTTAAGAATCTACTCGAAATGTGCTTGTGCCACAAAAGATGGATTATACTACTGACCAAGATGGATTAGCGCACTAGGAGATTTGTGGCATATCGTCACCGTATGGGAATGTTTCGAGTGCAGCTAAAGAGGCCGCAGAGTCGCAACATTTTCTCTTTGTCTTCAGATTCGGTTCTTCGGAGTGGATGCTGATTGGAATGGGTAGATGTATTTATTTTCTAACCGTCAATACCAACCCTATAGTCTTACTTTCCTTGTATGCTTTGCCACGATTTTACAACATGGCATGACACTCATGAATCTTCATGTCAGCTCTGAAATATAATGCAGTCAGGAAGTTGTACACACCGGTCTGACATTCATGTGCTACTGCCATTTGAGATGAACGTATTGGGATTAAGGCAAAGTTATGCAACAAATTGTGTGATGGTCAATTGTGGGCTAAATCTCGTATGTTTCAGGATATCGGAGTTGCAATTGAGTTTTTTTAAAAATCGTCAGGAATACAATGAGTTGTTTGGTTCTTACTGTTCTTTCCATTGGGTAGACTGGAGTGGCCACAAGAGACATTGCAGATTTGGTTTAACACATTCCGTTGATCAATGACACAATAACTTGTAAGTAACAGACCTCGAAAAGCGCTATGGTAGTCATCTCAGTGCTATGACCTTGAATGCGCTCACTGTCAAACATGTTTCCAATTGAGTGTTTAAGCGATGAAAGTGGCTAGACGGTTCAAGCAATCACACGCTTCAAGTATAATCCGCTATGTCTAGATGGCTGAGATTTCCAACTCGGATGTACATAAGTTTACCACCTTCGATTTTCTCATCTAATCTGAATTTGTTTGTTGGCTTTGAATTGCACAGATCATGAGACGACCGACGTGAATAGTTTCGTTCTCGACAAAGACCTTCTCGTCACGAGAGATAACAAGAAGGTCAAGCAAGGTGAGTAGGGTCAACATCGAAAACTGAAAGGGCAAACCACACGTCCTGCCATTAGCACGTACCCATCCGATTGCGCTTCCACACAAACAACGCAAAAACAACAACCTCCACATCTAGAGAATGAGAAGGCTGCATCAAACTGCATGTGTGAGCACTATTCTGATGTTTCGTATCATTGAAATGCATGCAATGTTCCATCCAAAATGAAAGAAGTACCAATAAAATGACCAAGAAAAGTAGCATCCACAGGGAATATATATAAGACAAGCTTTGAATTATCAGAGATAGTCATAAACATCTGCGCGAGCTTGTCCCGAGTCCAATCAGCACAGAGCTGGCTCATTTACAACCACGATCATGACTAAAAATTGTGGCCCGATCACAACAAATAAGCATGCGAGACGATAACCGTAGCTTTACTTGACAATGTTGCCGTTGAGGAGAGATTTTTTGAAATATAAACCGGCGAGAAGAAACATTGGAAATAGACAAATATTGAGTTTTAAACTGTTCTCATTCGTCCAAACATCTCATCCTCGCCCACTATTCAGGGCAGGGAGAGCTCGAAAAATAACTCATGACTGCGGCAAACAACTGGAACCAAATTATTCCAGATGTGATTTTGAACTCTGAGAAACTCTCGGCACAAAAGAGCTACTATGTTTGATACCTTAAGGTTTGGAGCAGAGTCGACATTTGATACCTGCTAATAATTGTAATTCTCAAGCAAACCCTTCTAGCCTCGACGTGCAGCAACATGCGCTTCCAGGCCATTACATATCTCAATCTGTAGCCTATCCCTATACTTTGGAGAAATTTTGGCGACCAATGGGGTTCATGACGACAGGGGAACCGGCCTCTCTTGGCCAGCCAGAGTCGAACTTCGCGATTGTCTCCTTCTGCCAGTTGTTGTCAGCGTAGCTTGCAGCACATGTTCCTATACCAACGAGGGTACAGGGCAAAACAAAACAACGGTATGTAAGTCTCTAATTTGACATAAAGGCAGGCGATGGTTCTCATCCGGTCTGGACAGAAGGGTCATCTTCCAGAAATTCAGACAGTAATGATCTCGGACAACTGAAAGATGATTTCACCCAATTTCGGTCCCATCACATGTCTTCGAAGCTAACACTCCAGCACAAGATTCAAAATCGATCGATGGAGCCGTATATTCTAGAGCTTAGAGCTGTTGCGAGATTCACAATGTATTACTCTCCACCATCAGTAAGACTATTTACAAGTTAGATCTCCCTCCCCCACTCCCTGAAAGACCTTAGAAAGCTAGCTAATGACACTCCGATGACCTTGGCCATCGAAGTCCTAGGCAGCAGAAGTAAATTGAGGCCTCGTGGTGAAAGGGAAAACGCAAGCACTGCCTCTATTCTACGCTTTCAACAGAGAGTTCGAGAAGTTTAAAAAAAATTCCGATGACACTCGAAACTAGATCTGAAAGCTCCGACAACAACCATAACACAGACCTTTCACACCGCACCGGGATCTACAGGCTGTGAACATGAAATAAACGAAGGAACCCTAAAAGCTGTAACAAAACACCGCCCTCAATCCTTCACAGATTCAGCATCTGTCTAATAACACGAAAACCCATTCCACACATGACAACGGAAGCAAAACGCAATAGCAAGTGAAATCAAGGCCGAAAAAAAAACACCATCCAGAGGGCACCGTGCACACCTCCAAAGACTTTCCGGTTCCGGGCCAAATCCCAGAAGAGGTAGGCGGGGACGAACGAGGCGAAGACCGCAGGAAGGATGACCTTCGTGAACGACACCATCTGACCGCCTCCGGCAGACATGATTGCAACCAAATTCGACCGATCAACGAATCCTCGAGTGGATGCAGGGAAGCAGAATCGCCCGAATTGCTCGAACGAGTGAATCTGTCGATATGTCTGGCCTCTCAAGCTCCAGCGAGAGTTAAGAAAGCGTCGAAAGGCCTCGTCTGCCCCTCCTTCACAAATTTGTCCGTGTCATACAGAGACAGTGGCCCCTCGTCTTCCCGGTTCCAAAGAGTCCTTCGACCGGACGGACCGGGAAAATCTCATTTACTGCCGGAAAGTAGACTGGGCGTTTAGTACCTGCTCCCCAGTTTAGCCGGGGAGTTGGTGCCGAATCCATGTATGATGGGTTTGGTTTCTCCAGCTAAAGTTAGCGCCAGCGTATTTCGTGCTTGGGTGCATGACTCTTCACTTTGACTCAGCCGGTAGTAACTAACTATTTAGTGAAGAAATTGGCGGAGCACGGAATATAACTATTCAAGGTAAATTGGGGTCACAAAGGGTAAAGCAAAATCACAAATAAAAGTGATGATTATATAGTCATTTCTGATGATTCAGTCGCTCAAAATTTGCTTTGTGAGTCAAGTTGCAGCTATAAAGACGGAGGCTAGATCACCCACAAAATGTACTTTCCATTCCACAAGCACACAAGAATCTTCGAATTTTATTATTTTCCTCAGTTCACACCGGATCCTCATCAACTCTCCCATGAGCCGACGGGAAAGTCCATGAGTTTCCTGATTTCTGAGCAGGAGGGAAGTGAAGGGAATATCATCAAGTAAAATGGAAAAATAATGTAAACTACCAAAACGAAAAATCGTATATGCATGAAACCGAATAGTTAACCTGATACTAGGTTCCAATACCATTTCCATGGAAGATTTAATATGGATTTCTTAATTGACCGACATAACTCTCTAAAACATTTTACTTGATGGAAAAAACATATGTTATTGCAATTCGATATAAAACGCTCTAATGCAATTCTTCATATGTATGTGAATCTGAATTATGGTATCTTTTTGTTTCTTTGTATTATTTAAAATGGCATATTAACATGCATCTAGTAGCATGAATAGTTCACCCATGTTAAACTCTGCGAAGAGTAACCACAACGTTTTCAAGAGAATTGAAGCAAAGCAAAAGTGTGTTAAGTACCTTTCTTCATGTCACGACCATGACAACGTAGGAGAAGCAACGGACTGCAATACGCTGCAACTGGGGCTATCCTACGATTGCGACCATGATGGATGGTCACCAGGTTGATTGCGTGTCGAAGGAGAGCAGTGTCTTGTGCGAGAAGCCGAGCGAGCATCGAGTGTCGATTTGACTCGACGCTCGATCATTGCTACGGATCTCATCTCTGGAGTGTGTCCGTACCGGAGCTGCAGAAGATACTTCTGGACTAAAACCCCACGAGCAGCTTCTCTGACAGCATTCTCGTGTGCAACAATGACTTAAAAAAATGAGACAGTAAAAACCATATGCACAAAATTTGTTTCTTTGAGCAGCTTGTACTCTCAAATCACTTCTACATTTGGGTTCGCTTGTAGGTACATCCTTGAGACTATAGAGGATTATATGTGGCAACGTACATTTAGCACCAATATCATCAAATGAGGTTATTCATTACCAGTCGGACTAGAGTTCATAACTCACTGTATATGGCAGATTACACATATATATGGATAATTTTTGTATTATTCGTATTCAATTCTAGTGTATATTACCATTAATTATACTCTGATAAACGTTACTGTTTTTCAAATTTACTCCTTGATAGTTCTTGGTTTATCCATTCATATCTTCACAAGTCACGAATGCCTTATTAAATTAGACATTCATGTGATTCGTGGTATATATGGAATCTCATAACCAGCTACTCGTTTTATTCATAAGAGACTTGCGAGAACGAAGGTAACTTTGCTATGTTTTGTATTCGACTAGGGTTACGATACAATTTGTATTTTGTTCCAAAATATCAAGTTAATGTTGTAAACGTGACAATCAATCATCATGCATGTGATAAAATTTTTACATAGTATAATTAACCATTTTCATAGATGGGTGACTATAACCCAAATTCTTCAAGTATAGAGTTGCGGGGAGAGTTTTTTCGATATATATATATATATATATATATAAATAACTAGGTACTTTAACTTTTGTATGTAAGTAAGAGAGTAAGCCTAAACCTACGTTACCAGCCAACAAAGTACACGAGCTAATGTCGTAAATAATACGGCAGTCACACTAGAAGATACATATTTATTTAGAGTCATACAGTTTGCATGTCGAAGATTCCATATTAAATATTCTCCCTTTCTGATGCTATTGGGCTTTGGCCCCAAGTTACCATTTGCTCTGATCCCTTTTGGCTTTATGGGGTCTTCCCATCATTTCCTTTGTCATGTATTAATCGATTCCCCGCACACACTTGCTTCTTTTAAAAACCAGCATAATCAATCAAGTCCCTTCGAATTCTGTGCCAGGCGTTTACGTAAGAGGAAGAACCTCCTTCCGTCGATTTACCAAAGCCGAAGGCTGCAGTAGATTTCCAGTGATCGAGCTCTCGGACGTAAGACTTCCCGGCAGAAGAGGCGCAGCTGCTGCGATGGCGAGCATACGAACGAGAGTGGCAATGTAGAAGAAATAGTTTCGAGGGCCTTGAAATCATTGTAGATTTTGAAATCAGGTTTCCGCCCGAATCGTAATCTGGTCACGGAAAAAGGCAGAGATTGTGCACGTCGAGGAAGTAGATTTAGGAGGCAGGCCAAAGGGTAGAGGGAGAGATGGGGGACGACGGGGCCCCAGGACTCGATCAGCTGCCTCACCACCTTCTTCAGAGAATTTTGCAACTCGGAGATTTTGCAGCAGCTGATCTTGCCAGCTTGGAGGCATCATGTTACACTTTCAGAGCAGCCACCGGGCTCGGTCCTATCCGGTTCAAATCGATGACAGAGAACACTGCACTTCAAGCTTGTCAATCCGATAGTCTGTTCAAGAGGTTGCCACATTCTCTGCAATCACAGCTTGCCATCCGCTGCAATGGTAACTGGAAAATGGTGTTGAGATACCTGAAAGCATTCCAACAAGCTGTGACTGGTGTGACTACATACGACGGAAAAGTAAGCCACCGTTTAACCGCCATGTGTCTGACTTGAATGGAGCCATTGTGAGAAATGATGTGAGTTGTCTTTCCCAACAAGACCTTCTTACTTCTCAAGCACTTGCATTGAATGGGGTGCCGCTTCGTCGACAGCAACCTGCCTTGTTGGAATTTAGATGTGAATTCTAGCCCCTAAGATCCGACTGAAAGATCTGTCCGTCTTCAGTTCACTGTCTAGAGTAGTTAGCTGTCTGTTTTCACGCCCTTGTGACAAAATGTGGACTAATTCATAACATGATTCCCTGCAAGTTCAATGATTCAGGCCTTCGTGACATCTGATAGGGATAATTCCACCGTGTTAGAAGCCAATAAATTTTTAAAATCTCATACTTGACTTCACAACGAAGAGTTTGCGACTCTTCAAACTTAGACTTGATCGCAGGAAGCAGACTCCTGGCTAGCGATCGTTTGGTTTTCACACATGGCGGTGAATTGGTAGATTTTGCAGACGTCTATTGCTCTGAGGTTGTAGGTTGCGGGGAAAACAGTATAATGGAGGTTGCATACAGAAGGAATTGTCATCATCGAGCACTTGTTAGTGATCACGCCTGCTATGACAGGCACTAATTTGTACAGCTTTCAGTTTATATGAAATCGGTCTGTGCTGTTGGCAGGTACAAGTCGTCGCTGGAAAATATCTGACTCTTTTTATCGATTCGAGAGGAAGTCTCTATGGTTGTGGGTCGAATAAGTTTGGAGTTTTAGGTCAAGAGTTATCGGTATCCGAGTGCCGAATTCCTGTGTGCATACAAGTGCCCGTCCCTGTGTTACAAGTGTCAGCGAGCAGTCATCATGTTGCTCTAGTCTCCAGAAACGGAGAGGTAAGACTGTCGGTCGACACACTCCCCATTTGTATGTGCTGGACTGAAAATCTCTGTGAGGACCAAAGACAAAGAGGCTACTAATAGCAAGAAATCATGTAATTGGAGGACCGGCTTCTGCAAGTCTGGTGAGAAAGTTTATTTGTTAGATATAAGTTGCTTCTTGTGGATATTTTCTTTGAATCGGATGGTTATCCCACGCGGAGTTGCGTTAGGTCACATACTTCGAGACTGCTGTAAACAGCCTCACATGCAATTCATCCGTGCAGGTTTATACTTATGGAGACAATTCATCAAATTGTTTGGGACACGGAGAGATTGGGGGGCAATTATTCCAGCCCAGACTTGTGGAAACCCTCAAAAACATACCATGTAAACAGGTAATACTCTTGTCAAGTCAATTCAAGTCTTTTCCTACTAGCCCTGAACTTTCTCTATCGACTGTCAAAAACATGTCCATTGAGCACTGTCAGTGGTTCGTAAGTTCTACTGATCTTGTGAATCATTTCGAAGCTCGGTTGATGAGTTGCATGTCTTCAATGGTATGCCTTGTTCACCCCGGAAACTGGCGGTATTGAGCTCGTAAGTACACGAGACAAGATCAGATGCTCCACTTACATTGTTTGGAAATCTCTGTGAGGAACGAAGACAAAATGGTAACTTATAGCAAGGAATCATATAATCGAGCTCAGGCTGCTGCAAGTCTGATAAGAAAGTTTATCTCGGAGATTTTAAATGCTTGTGGATTTTATATTTGAATCAGGTGGTTGTCCCACGCAGAGTTGCATTAGGTATTTGATCAGATGCTCCGTTTACATATTGTTTCTTTGAGCTAATCGCAGTCAGAACGTATCATGAATACGTTTGACCCTGTCTTCTCTTAAATTTAACAATCTTAGAAATAATTGATTGAAGGTAATTATAGTTGTGTTCTCAGATCCACCCTGATCAACTTTTTTCCTCTGAGATTACTCAAGGGTAATGTAAGTCCCTGGACTTCTAACATCTTTAGTAGTAGAAGCTAGTCCCTTGGTATACTCTGATATTCGTAAAGTTTACTTACTTTGGTTCTTCCGATCTTGTTCGCTTTCCCTTGTTGCTTCTTGCCAGGTGTCTACTGGCCTTATGTTTACAGCTGCACTCACTCGAGAAGGAGAGGTATATACCTGGGGAAGTTCTTCAAATGGACAGCTAGGGCATGGTGATATGGTCGATCAGTCCCGTCCAGTTCGGATCGAGGCCCTAGTAGATGCCGGTCATGTCATCCAGGTTGCCACAGGACCAAGTTTCACATTCGCTTTGCTCGACTGCGGAAAGCTTTACTCTGTCGGAGGAGGGAACAACTACTGTCTCGGGCACGGGGACTTTTCAAACGATGCTCATCCTCGAGAGGTGCTCTTTTTTGACGAGCAGAAGGTTTTCGTATCGTATGTCGCTGCTGGAGACGAACATGCGGTAGCCATTGATTCTTCGGGATATGTGAGTTCCGAGCCTCTCTGTTCAACCAGCCTATTTTTTGTATAGGTTGAATAAACTTAGAGGTCTGTACAAAAACTATAAGTTTATTCAACCTAGTTTATTCAAGTTTATTTAAGTTTGGACGTCCTTGGATTGTTGGAATAGCTGGATTGAGCACCAGAGAACCTTGGACCGACAGCTCGAACGAAACATGGGTCACTGGCGGGAGTTGTTCGACCACTGAACAGTATATACCACGATTGTTGAAATGGACCCGAATTCTTCGTGGCTTGGCCTTGTAGGTGTACACATGGGGCAAGGGCTATTGTGGACCATTGGGCCATGGAAACGAAGAGGACCAGGTTATTCCGAAATTGGTCGAGAAGCTTCGGGACGTCCGGGCAGTACAGGTGCGTGTGGCACGATCATGTTGAGCTTTGCCTGAGTGTCAATAGGGATTTCGAGTGTAGTCGCTTGTACTCGAGGCTTTGGACGAGAGCGTAGGTCCCGCATTATTTCCCCAAGAGCACGCCCAGAAAATTTAATGCTAATGCCGATCGTATCCTCCTGCGCTGCATCAGGTCTCCGCAAGGAGGAGAAAGACTTTCGTGGTAACGGACACGAGTGAGCTCTACGGTTTTGGATGGATGGGACTCGGCTCTCTGGGTTTGGAGAACAGAGGGACTTCTGAGAAGATTTTGGAACCCGAGCTTGTTCCCGGGCTGCGCGTAGCGCAAGTGAGCACAGGCAATTATCATACGGTCGCCACGTCCCCCGAGGGATATCTCAAGGGCATTGGAGATAGCGGCACGTCTCAGTTGAATTTCAGCGAGAAGTTCTTGTTCAATACTCATCTTCTATAACGGAGTAGACTCGGATCCCCTGTATATCGACTCTGCACTCACTCTAGGGTGATGTATATTGGCCCAGCCGATGGAAGCGTTAAGATTTCTCGTGTACATTAGACCATCCAGAAGTTCCTCGGCCTTTTAACACTGTCTGACTGCCGATCAGCAAGAAAACTCGTCAAAAGTTTAGGCGTAGCAGCTGACAGGAGGCTTACTTACCCCTCCTGTCAGCAATAGGTTCTAGATCTTCATTGTTTTCTCCCATAGAGTTTTAAACATTTGGCTAGATCATAAGTTTTCAGACACGCTCAGTTTATGCTACACATTTTTTTGCCATAGAAAGGCGGCATGTTGTGGGATTCGCTCAAAATCTACTTGAGCCATCGTCGTTCCCATCGATTCATATCATGGTGGCCAAAGAATATTTCTCTCAGTGCCCGGCTCAATATAGACGTTGTTCCTTTCGAGGACCTTTTCGAAGCCGGTCATCAGCCGGTGGTTACCAGCTTTCTCAAAGCTAGTGTCCAGGCTGATGGAAGAACTGATGACATGGGAGCAGGAACCGTCCGGTCAGACGGTCACATGGATCCATGGATACAAAGGTGATGTACCTCGAGGTCGATCCATTCAATGAACCCGCAGTCAATGAACGGACCTCGAAGGTGCACTGTCAACCACTCCCCTACACTGTTCTTCACTGGTTTGGCTCCATAGGTCCTGCAACAGAAACTGATAGAGACTAAGACGTGGATTGTATCGATGACATCTGAGGGATTGGTTAGTCCTAGGGCCCGGATAGATATAGGTACGTGTTGGAAAGAGCACATGCCACGCGAAGATTGTGTTGTTGATTCTAGCTGGTTTCAAATTGGATACAGATAACATTTTTTAAAATATTGGACTTGAATTCTTGTGCGTGACGTCTCTAGTCATGGTGATCGACGAGAAAGATGTGAACGTGTATATTTCCTCATCTCTGTCGAGTCATGTCTGCAAGTTTTGTCATCTTCCTACAAGAGTGTTTGTATGGTTTTGAAGGTTCAGTGAGAAGTATGCATGGACCGGGTGCGAAGGACCACATGTGGGTGCTGACAGTGTTGGATATATGGAACAGAGTTGCATGACTCGTGGAATTTAAGTGGATCGGAACGTCGAGTAGATTCATCCAAGCTTATAAATTTGTATGGAACCCAAATGCATGCTGCGTACTTACGTGCTGGAATATGTCACTGCCCGCGTGGATCGATAAAATCTAATCGTATCGAGCTTGAGGTTACGACCTGTGAAGATACCAACGTTTGGCAAAACCGTGCCAGCTATCGAAAGACAGCAGCCATGAAAGGTCACCAAGAGTCCAAAGAGACCGACGCTGACAAGTTTCTCAAATGAACCCTCTGGGCGCAGATGGGTCACTTCTTCCGCAGGTTAAACGACAAGGACGAGAGGCACGCCTCCCATGAGGCCGACGTCACAGTACAGTACTGCACCAATCTCTTACTGTCTACTGTACTTCGTCTGCAAACCCCCGCCACCGCCATTTCATGCAGGCGTGAAAGGGTGGTCGTTGTTGCTGACCACGAAATACCAACCTTTCGGAGGATGACTCACGCGAAACTTCGTGACTGCAAACTTGAATTCTGGTTCTCATAATTTAACAAATAGATTACAAAGGATCGGGACAAGGACCCGATTCAAGTATGAACTCGATAAATTAAGTATGTACACGATGCGGGCAGGCACACGGATAAAAGCACATTCTACAGCTAGTTCAGTCTATGAAGAACTTCGCCTTTTCTCTCGTATAGCAACTCTTAGTATGGCCCAAAAGGCATTTCGTCGGAAGAAGTGGAAGAAGCAATTCGCCCGGATTCGGACTCTGGACATGAAGTGATTAATTTACCATACCCAGCGAGTTGATGCCCCATGCACTTCTCGTCCAAGTCTTCTGCTTAGCATTGAGCTGCAAGACGCGAGCCCACGAGATCCAACCTTCCCAGCTCATGCGCTTGTCCCATTGAGTGCCCCATTCCATCAAGAGCTTCAGGCCTTGGGCAATTTCCTTCTCGGCTTCCTCGTACTCCCCCTCGCCCAGAAGCACTTGAGTCAAGGCCACGTGAGGTTCAGCGAAGTGAGGGTTCAGCTGCGAGACCTGCCGCAGCAATGGCTTGAGCGTGGCTGCGGATTGCGGCTTCCCCTTGGCGTCGAGAGGAAAGGCCTGCCAGTAGAGCCTGACGGCCTCGACTTGATCGGCAGGGGACACGATCACGGTGCAGCTCTCGAAAATCGGAGGCACGGCCACGGGGATGCCTGCGAACAGCCGGCTCTTCCACGCCTCCCCCCTGCCCTCCCTCTCCTCCCTCTCCTTGTACGCCGCCTCTTCGTGCAGAAGAATGTTCAAAAGCACGCCCATTCGAGAAATACTGCTCGCCCAGCGTCCGGGTCTTCCATCTCCGGGCCACAATGCAGTCCACTGGTCGCCCGAAAACGAACTCTCCCCGTCTCGATTATCGAATAAATCATCCTGCCACCCATAATACTGGTCGATGGCGTCAGCCATGGTGAGAATGAGAAAAATCGCGATCAGATTCCGTGGGACCTGCAAATCTTCTCCGGTTCGAATGTTGCTGACTGTGAATCCTCCGGGAGGAACGAGAGGCTGGCTCGTCGCTAAATCGCTCGACTCTCTGACGTCCTTGAGGCGCTGCAGCAATTGCTCGTCGGTGAACTTGAACAGGAGCATGTCGAACACGACCTGCTGTCTGGGTACAATGCAGAACCAGTGCACGAGCTCCTCGGCTTCGGGTCCGATGAGATCGCGCACCACCTGGCGGTCGGTGTTGGGAGCGAAGATGGCCAAATTCACGTACGAGTTGGAGTAGGCGGAATGGAAGAGGCCGCAGCGTGCCACGGCGTCGGCGGCGTTCCAGAGCTTCAGGTTGCGGTAGACATTAAACAGATGCTCGTAGAATGTCCCGTGCTTGTGCCAGCACTCGCTCGCCCCGACGTCCTGCAATTTCCGCAGAAACCCCGGCAGCTCGGGATCTATCTCCTCCAGAGAATCCCGTATGAACAGCCTCGCGTACTCCAGTCTCGCATCGTAGCTCACCTTCCCGTTCTCGTGCGGCGTCTTCCCGTTCTCGTGAATTCCCATGTTGCGTTTTCACCAATCGATCACTTCCTCCTCCTACACAGTCCACGATGAAGGTCCGTCAGCACAAGACTAAACTCCACTACTACCTCATCCACACATTCCTTATTCACCGGGAGAATCTGAAGATGATGAGCGTCTGGTTTCTGTTCATGAGTTTCTGAGCACCATATCACGAATCAAACGCTGGTGGCTTCTGATTCATCCACCGTAACCACGGCCAAGAACATAATTGTGCGATTCGCAAGAAGAAGGTCTCTCGTGTCTTCTCATCTTCTTCTCTTCTTCCTCGATCCCAGAGGTTAGAACTCGAATCGGCGCCATGATCAGGATGGATGTGGCAATGCCCTCGGCTGGTGGTGTGTAACGGATAGGACAAACACACCGCTCGACATTCAAAAAATCTTCCTCATGCAAATTTGACCACACAATGCAAACCCAGAACAGTAATACACGGAGGAATTAAATTTCAACCTCTCCCAACCCACACATGGATGTGAGAATTGCATCACCACCACTTCTCGACGCTGTGCTCTCGGCACTTGGACTGCATCAGTGTTTGCTGCACAGAGCACGATCGGAGAGAAACAACGTCATACCTTCTGTACAAGCCAACCCTTCCGTTGAATGCGGGGACGAAGGTCGGGGGATTGATCTCCCGCTGTCGAGATGAATGTGATCCGGGGTTAGAACGACGGTATTTAACGGAAAATCACTTGCGGTTTTCGTGCAGCTGATGCCCGAGGCCGGGCCGATCTGGCAGCAGTATATATTACAAGTCAGCAATATTATGCGTACATTATCGTCTCACGTTCCTTCCCATCTAGTCATAGAATGTATTTCATGTGATATATAAAAGGAATGACACCTCGGCATGAATCCAACAACTATTCTGACGTGGACAATCCGTCGGACCTGGCAGCGGCCGACGGTATGTAGACTTGCTGAGCTGTACAATACGGCCTCGACCCCTAGTCCCAACCTGAGGTTAGGCTTCATTAAGGGACCTGGACTGGGCAGTAAAGACTCGAGCCCGGCAGGACGTACAGATACTACAGAAGGAGTTGGTGGTAGTGTGTCGTGTTCCGCGACAGCGCTCGCTCGATCGATTCCTCTGTCGTCAGATTCGTCCTTCTGTTGAGAGAGTCCTCAAATTTCAGGAATCTCAGTTTGGGGGCGGAAATTTTGCGGCTTTTTGGCACAACGATCGGTCGTGGTCGCGAGCGAAGTTTGAAAAGTTTCGTGGTTTGTTTGAGAGGTCGCAATCATGGTGAGTTTGCCGTGGGTGATCGTTTCTGTTTTGAATTCGCGTTTGAGGGTTTTCTTGGAGTAGAAGATGATCCTGTTTTCGCTGTAGACAGTGGTTTTGTCGACCGAATTGATCAGAATCTTGGGACTTTGAGTTCTACCTCTGCTTTCAGGACTTGCTTTTAGACGGAGTTGGGGGTGAACCTCACGTTCTTTTTGTGGTGCTACCGGTTTGATTTTTCTGCTTTTTAAGTGCGAGCAGCTGACGGAAAATGGTCAGCGTGTGTTTACACATATGTGGGATGGGGAAAGCGTGGGTGATTTGTGTAGCTTTCTGTGCCTCTGAATAGGGTTTCTGGGGTTTTTTTATAGTGTCTTTTTGGATGAAAGGGAGTGGAGCCGAGTAGGATAGATGCGATTAGCATTTGAGTTGTTCGATGATCGGACTTCTGTTTTTCTCTGGGCAAGACTTCTGAACGTCATTGTTATAGACAGACTAATGGCCGGTTGCCTAGAGCTTTTCTTGGTTGCTGAGTGACCTATTCACGTTGAGACGTTTTAGGTTTCCATTTCGCAAATAGTGTGTTGCCGAAGTGAATTAGTTCAATTTTTTTGCTGAATTTTATTAATATTATGGCCCGTTGATCGTATATGTCCGAGAAGTGGAGCAATAGTGTACTCGATCGGCGACATTGTGTATTGTGCACTCATTTCAAGGATATTACACTTTTAAATGCCGCAATGTTGTAGAGCAAGAAGGGTTTTTTGATTATGCAGTTGGAGCCACCAATAGAAGAGGTTCTGGCATCCGATTGTGCAAAAATCATCGTCAGATTGCTACCTTCTAATGTGGACATTGTATGCGAGCAAATACAATGAAACAGACCAGTTTTCTGATTGTGTTCACTTTTTTTTTTCCAGGACGATCCAGAATTAGCCGCCATCAGACAACGCCGGATGCAGGAAATGATGGCCAAAAGTGGCGGTGGTGCTGGTGCTGGTGGGGTATGGCTGAATCTAAATCGTATGGTTTTTGAAGCATATTCATAATTCTAAATTGAGGCACAATTCAAGATGTGATAGTTCCTCAGTCAAGTCTAGTCTGGGTTCATCACAATTTGAAGCACTAGTCAACTGAACTCGTGGTTTCTGGTAGACTCGAATGATGGAATCATGTGTATGTCTTTATTGAGAACCTAAATGCGTTCTAGACTTTGACGTAGCTCCTATCATCTTAGTTTCTTTGTCTGGAATATTTTGTTTCACATTTGGATATCAAGAACAATGTCAATGTCTTCGTTCATTTTGCAGCAGTCTTTTCCTCAGAACAAAGAGCAACAAGACGCCCAGGAAGAGCAGAAAAGGTGCATGGATATAAAATGTTGACTTGGAAGCAAATCTTATGCGTAGAAGCAATTTTCAGCTGAATTAGTAACCCTATCGTGTTTGTTTAGCACATTTGAGAGATAGAGAGGGGAGGGCGAGAGCGTTTGGGTTCATCGATTGCGAGGAGTGCGGGCGGTGCTTGATCGGGAGCGAGGAGAGAGAGTGAGAGAGTGAGAGAGGGAGAGGAAGCAGATGCCGATTGAATTGTGCTGGGATTGGCGACAGCGAGCGGAGGCAGTGAGGGAGGTGGGGAGGGCTTGAGGGGGTGAGCGCGAGTGGGGGACGGGCGATCGATTGATGTGGAGATTTTATTCATGGGGGGAGAGAGGGAATTCGAGTGTGTGTCGAATTGTTAATGGATTATAAGTACTCCTTTTGAAAGCCTGAGTAGACGCCGATCTTAGCGTGCCAACCACTGGTGCTTATATAGCATGTTATATGAATAAGTTGTTCCTGTGTTTGGTGCTTTCTTACTCATCTTTCATGTCAACTATCCTTGATGTGGTTTAAGGTCTTCAGTTTTTCCCCAATCTTTGCAGAATCTACATACAATCTGTAAATTGTCATATTTATTTTTGTTTCCATCACCAATTGATCACAGGCCAAAGAAGGATATGTATTCTTGTTCTTGTTTTTATCAGTTTTCAGGATGTCTATCTACTCATAAGTTTTTAACAACTGAATCCATTCAACGGTTTATTGACATCTAAATGTCTGTCGTGCAGAGAAGCTGAGGAACGCCGACAGATGATGTTGGCAAGAGTGTTGTCTTCTGAAGCTCGGGAGCGATGTAAGGTCCTCATCTCTCGAGCTTTTAGAATTAAATGAAACATGTTGAAACTCATTCAGTTTTCATTTTGTTTGGACCGACCTGCTCAGACCGACAAGTTTGGAGAATGAAACACTAAAGAAGAGAATATGAGTTTCGGTCAGAAGTTAGAAACTGTTCTAAAGAATTATCGATTTGATCACTAATTGATGATCCGTTTTCTTTTTAGTATCCCGAATCGCACTGGTGAAACCGGATAAGGCAAGAGGAGTGGAGGACTTAATTTTGCGGAGTGCTCAATATGGACAGATCACTGAAAAGGTCGGTCATTGAAGTTGTCTCGAGTGACGTAATTCTATGTTTCAAGGACGTCTTGCAGGGAGTTTAGAATTGCAAGTAACAACTTTAGACTTCTCTCGTCTGAGTATACTTTTCATGGTGTGATACCTTGGTTCTGCTTCTGTTCAACAAATTATTTTTTTCTTTTTGTAAAGTTTGTCAGTCCCACGAGACCTTCACAATGAGCTTTTGGACTTGGCAGACAGCTGATTGTGGTTGTCTTATCAGGTTTCGGAGGAACGCTTGATCTCTTTACTGGAACAGATAAATGAACAGACACAAAAGAAGACAACCAAAGTGACTGTAAGTATTAATCAACACACTATTATATATGTATTGGTTGTGATATTTGCTATGGGGTCGTCCTTAACTAGTTGAATCTTGTGTGTTGGACAGATCCAGCGTCGGAGAAGCGTTTTGGACGAAGATGATTAAATATGAATCGTCCGAGCTGACCAGTTGTGACCTCCTCGTGGAAGGACTTGTATTTGTAGATTGGATCAAGCACAACGTCGCTGATCAGGATTGTCTCCTTGGAATGGAATTGGTGATTTGTATTGCTCAAGTCAGCTCCAACCTGAAGCTGTTGTTGTTGGGGCACAGTTCTTATGGTCTAGTCAAGGCTTGTGACTAGACGCACTACCACAGTTTTTCATAATTTTTTATACTGTTGTATAACGCCTTTGTATTATAGGTGGATACAGTTTCAATACAAAATTGACTTGACATTGAGTGCTTGTTACCTTCCACGTACTAAACATCTCTTAAAGTGTCTAGTGCAGGAGTTTCGTTTAAAGTGTGGAAATTAAAAGATAATGGATTGTGTATACCTTGTGAGTGAGAAAATTTTGTCCTAATGTGCTGATCTTAATTATGTAATCTCCGTATCTATTTGAATTGATAATAACTTATCTGGGAATAAAATGACTCATGTGTGAGTGATGGATCACCGTGAGAGTTCAAGTCATGTGTAGAAATTTGAAGTCTTTTATCAGAAACCAACGTTATTTCTACAGTTTTTTCTGAAATTAACTATGTATGTTCAGCTTAACATATGTTAAGTATGTGTGAATGTGTTATAAGTGGTCCAAACCATTGAAACTGAGCTACTACACACGGGGAGGTTGACAAGTAATTGTGTTAAGCTGCCCAAGGTGAAGAGTATTCTACAATGGTTTTAGTTTAAAGCCATATTAATAAAGTTTAAAGAATACACTCAAGACATGTCTTGGAAGAGAGCTATCAGAGCAATCTGATTACAAATTAACGGGACGATGTTAGCAAAATTAGTGAACCACTTATACGGAAGTGCACAAGGATTCACAGTTTAAGACTTGACAAAACACGAAATTCGAAAGAATGTCTCGTACAAACATATCGTCAGCACAAAATTCACTATACCGTACCATCGCAATCTAGTTCAAGTGAAGGCATATATAAATTTACGATCAGCGGTGATTAAAAGATTCGGGTATGAATGACTGGAGTGAATACTGGAAATGAAAAGTATGATGATTATGATCATGCTGAGTCGTTTCGATTGCTGATGTTTTCTCCTTGGAAGAGAGATAGGTTCAGAAATGGAATGACTTATGGAAAATTCTCTCTTTTTACTCGTAACATATTGGAAGAGTATCCATATATCAAAGTATACTCTGAACATTTAAGTGGTCAAACAAGTGTGAGAACAATACATGTAAATATTACAAACTGAAACTGTATGTCACGATGTCAATCTCCAGAAGGGATGCATAAATATTCTCGAAATTACAAAGTTTCATCACCAATTATAACTCACTATAAAAGGTAAAGGCTCCCTGTGTGCATTTGGGTCAAAAATAACAAACGATGTGTATCGTCAAGTTACCTTTGGCTTTCTTCATCCACCAGATAAGACTACAAAAGGGTGTCCAGTTCGATGATAATTACATCCCTTCGCATGCTAAGTACAAATAATGAAGCTAGAAAATTGTCGTGGGCGGAACAGACCGTATACGAAATTTTCATCGCCAGTCAAAGAATACAAGTTTTCCATACTTCTGCTGCTAGTGAATATATATCTGTATATAGATATATATAGGGGGGGGGGGGAGCATACAGAAAACTGGTTGAACGTGTTGTCATCAAGTGTTACGGTGGAAACCACTGCACCATGGGCGTGTCCGAATCCTGAATTATGGTAGTTTCATTTTGATATCAGCTCGCTTTGGATACGATTCCTTTACTTTATTACTGTTTTCGTTGATATTGAATCAAAATATTATCTATTTGGTTCAACATCAACGACTAGTGAAGGCAGAACCTACAGTCGGAACTCTTTCGGAACATTCCGTTGGCTTGACAGTATTGCAGTCCGTTCGTTCGTCGGCTTATCGTTCGCGACTTAAGCGTTTAGGAATCTTAAACAAAGTTGTTTAAATCATCAACGAAAAATAATATATAACATCTTCTAGACGCAAAGAGACATACTCGTCTTCGGAAGTTTGCTGGCTACTCGTTCGTTCATTCATTCTATCGCTCTCAAGAGTGTCATCAAAATGTTCAACCCCATTGAGATAGATGAGTTCCACCAAGTGGTTCGGCTCTACCGAATCTTTAAACCCATCGTAACATGCCTTCTGATTACAGTGGCTTTGTTGATCTACATAATACTCTGGATATATACGAACAAGCCATGAACGGAGGCTCTACTGATATGTTCCGTCGCAAAATTTGGGAAGATCTTCGTTCATCAAAACCCTTCTCTCCATATTATTTCCCGAAATCTGCGACTTCTTCAAAATGTGAGGAAATAGAAAGAAAGGAGTCTCTGTTTCGTGGGAAGTATGATGTGCGTCGTAGTCTTGTCAGTCTTGCATGTGACAGTGGTGTGTTGACAATACTCTGTATGTGCTTCATAGGCCGAGATCTAGGTTTGAATCTTCCCTCCGATCCCATTATTTTCTCGAATGTCGAAGATTTATTTAAAGCCGATTTAGGCGCTCTGATTTCCTCGACCCCTCGTATTTCTTCGGTGCGTTTCCTTCCCTCAGGATTTGACGCGCGTCCTGTCCTGTCCTGCCCTGTCCTGCGTATATTCGCACAATGACCGCGGGGCACTGAGGTTCTACTTCGTCGACCTGTCAGGCAAGTCGCCGGTGAAGATGACCTGCCGAGAGGCTGTGAGTACATGGTTATGTCAGGTCATTCGCTCTGAGAACCACGTACGTCTCAACCACGTTTGCGGGTGCTCAGGAGGCCCCGACGAAGCACTTTCTCGTCTCTCGAGCTCTTCTCGGATTATTGAGAAGGACGAGCGGTGACGAGGAGAATTCCAAATCTTTCTGCTGTGCTCTGGGTTTGTCATTCTCGTGTTGCCTGCTGTTGCATTCTCTCCAGCGACGGGAGAGTTTCGTGTTCTGTTTGGAGTTCGTTTGGAAATTTGGTGTGCGAGGATTTTCGAGTCGAAGAATTTTGAAGCGGCAAGTTTTAGGGTGACGAGGTTTGGAGCTTGTCTGCAGACAATCGGGTAATCGATGGAGCAGGTAAAGCGGTCGGAGGGGGAGGGAGCTGACATGACCGTCTATCAGATTTTGGTCAGAAACTTGGACGGAAAAACCCGATGTCTTCGGTTTTCGTCCAAGGATCTATTGTGCGAGGACTTGAAAGCGGAATTGGCCGTGAGTGAAGGTATTCCTGGAGCTTGGCAAAGGCTTGTGACTGGGACACGAGAGCTTGTGACAGGAAGCAGTCTTGTAGCCGATGCGAATGGTTTCTTTCCGTCTTGCAGCTTGCTGTTGCGGTTGAGAGGAGGCAAGGGGGGTTTTGGGTCGCTTTTGAGGGGTGCGGCGACCAAAGCGGGACAGAAGAAAACGAGCAATTTTGATGCATGTCGTGACATGAGTGGAAGGAGACTGCGTCACGTGAATGCTGAGAAGAAATTGAAAGAGTGGAAGTCTGAAGCTAAGGAGAGAGAATTGGAGAAGACAGCTGAGGAATTTCTGAAGAAGCGTAGGAAAGTAGAGGAGGAGGACTCTGGCGTCGCCGTTGATCTGGAAAAGTTCAGGAACGATAGCTTGCTAGCCAGGGAACAGGTAGCCGCAGCGGTGACGGATGGGCTTGTAGAGGCTCACAAATTAGCTCTTGATCTGAAGAGGAAGAAGGTTGAGGCAGTGGAAGTGGATGCCAAGAGACCTAAATTAAGGTAAAGCTAGGTTTGATAGTTTCATTGAAGGCTCGGTTGCGTGTGTCGTCGTCGTTGTGTTCTACCACAGAATTTTCTACTGCTCTGCTATTTCATATCTTATTTCAGACACGACGGTTCTCAACTTCATTTTTCTAGGAGGAGACGAGTTTTCTTGTTTGTCTTTGATAGTCAGTGACGTTGATGTTTAGCCACTAAGAGGAAGATGTCAAAACACTATTGGATCATGTATGCAACTTGAAAACTGAAATAATTTGGTATTGCAGGCTCTATGGTGACTCTGACCTTGAAGACTCTGACTCGGACGAGGACGAGGAAGATTCTGATATTGAAGAGGAGGCAGGTGCGTCCGCATCGGAGGAAAACGGAGCAAGTCCATCCAGCTCCTGTAAAACAGATGGAAGCGAAGCTGATCAAAGTGATAAATCGGAGTTAAACGAAGATGTTCCATCTTGCTCCGATAAACCGGAAGCAACCGAATCTATAGTACTTCCGGAAATTGAAGCTTGATCATAGTTAGTTGGCCTCCATAGTTGTAAATTTAGACGTAGAGCACGGCCAATGCCGCAATCTTTTGTAAATGTATCCAACCGTTGTATGTGGTAGCGCCAATTTTTTTCCACCCATCATAAACTCACTGTGAACTTTTGATGCTGAGATATTTCAAACTCAGAGTGGGTGGAAACGCCTGACGATGAAGCTCATGACGGAAAGGTAGAAGCGGCTATCGACCGGACTTGGATAGTTAGAATAGATTTTCTCTTCTGGATATCGACGATTGTGCTTTTGAGATCAGAGTTGAACTTGTCTTATTTATAGCCAAGGCCGGTATTCGGACTTAGTCGACCCTTTTTCACGATCCTACTACATTGTGGAAGAATGGGGTGTAATGAGCTCTCGTAAGCAAATTTTGTTTAATATCTTTCAATAAATTTGGGAGATTGCAGTCCTCTTTTGAATATGTGGAGATCAACTGGTCGAAAGTCACCTGTTCAGGAGAGACTGCTCACTTTGAGTTGGATAGTATAGTTCCAGTCTAGTGGATATTCCCAATATCGATAGGTGAAAAGGAGATTCTATCCTCACCTGTCATGCCTTCTATCACGTTGGTAGACTCGTCTCTGTCGCCTTGAGCAGGATGTTATCATACATCAGTTTGTGTACTCTAGCTCGCCAAATTGAATCATCGGTCGCTGAGTACCTGGAAGGCAACCTGGATCGAAGGAGTTGTGGGAATGTTCTCCCCTTGATAGTGGAGGTAAATGCGGATGGGCCTACTCCAGCAGCTCACCAAGTACAAACCTTCGTTGATCATTTGATCAACATGCACATTGTTTATGCATTGAACTGGAAAAACGCAATTAGAATGTAGAGATTTGGTAACCTGACTGACATCGCATCTCAACCTCTCACTGGCATTGGGGTATGCAGGAGTCGCAAACTTTTGCGTACGTGAATTCGGGCCAGTCAATGATCGACCAAAACAGTGGAAGATGTTAATGGAACGATGGTAAGTACAACATGCACATTTTTGCTAGTACTTGACTGCGGTAGGCCTCTGAGATGATTGGAAGCTCTCGAAACTGAACTACACTCTCAAGGCAGGGGTTGAGTCGCATGAAAGGTGGATCTTTGCTGCATTGCCCATCAATGCACGATGCTTGCTCTGCTAGAAACGTGTCGACTATTCTCGTATATTCTAGGATCATCTAGTCAAATGCACAGTGAATTTAGACGGAGAGGGTTTCAAACACACAGACGGGTTTTTGAGACGACGGTGCATCAACAAGTGCTTCCATCGGATCCCAGGATCAAATCGGTTACTGTCATTAGAGGCAATTGATCAAAATGACCCGAAGCTGTCCTAAAAGTAACTGCCACTGTAGGTACGCTTTGTACATCTACTTCTCCAACGACATTCAACATTCTCGTCGCCCAGTTGCAGATGATGTACAGAATAGTGCACGATGTTTTGCGACGTTGGCTTGCACTTTCTGCTTGATTGCTCTATTGCCCAGTAGCATGACAGGATTCAGGTTTTCAAATACGTTGGAATCCGGAGCTCCTGCAAATAACAAAATGATGCCCATGATCTTCCTGTGCGATTATCAGCATGTACATAGTTCTACAGCTGGCTCGAAGTCCCTCTGTATGGCCGTGGAGGCGGAATCTTGTGGGGGGGTGTAAGTTTTCTAGAGTGGGCTCAGCAGTAGTCGTCCACACCCACGTAAGTTTCCTCACATCCCGTGTACAGTAGGATGCATGATATCGCGCGTGCAGGAGCTGAACTGGTTTGGCAAGTTTGTAGATCTGCAAATTGGTTCGCACAGTAGCAAGCTCGGGGCTTTAAAATGCTCCGAATGCGATGTTACAATCATCAGACGATCTTTCATCGTTTGGTCCCAGTCGTAGTCACTTCTTCCAGTTTCTGGTTCGTTTCATCCATTAGCTCGTCACATTTCAACAATGGGGCTTTTCGAGGCTTCGAACATGTTGACACTAGTTTTAGTGACTACTCTGGGTTTGGTCTGTGGCTCTATGCTGCCTACATCCCAGGCAGATATGGTCTTGGATGCATTGCACACGCACACCACTGCGTTTATGTACCCAACTCCAGAGCCCAATGCCACTGAAGATCGTCTTCACAGCTCTAACAACGGCGGTGACTCGAATCCGATCGTTCCTGACGAACCGATCATTCTCGACTACCACCATGGTCCCATTATGACAGGAAAGAACGAGATGATCAGGCTGAATGTCGTATTTTACGGTACCTTCTCCAACAAACAGAAAGCGACTTTGCGTCTATTTTTCAGATCATTTTGGAACAATGCTGTTGAGCTCGAGCAGAATGGCTACTGGCCCACAGCAGCCAAATGGTGGCAGATCACTCGTCGCTATGTGGATCTACACAAAACCCCGATCGCCCGCAGTATCGTCCCAGGAGGAGAGATGCAGGATTGGTACTCCCAGGGGAAGAACCTTCGCCAGTCCAACATCCAGGCGATTGTCAACAAGGCCATGAAGCAGAAGGACATCGGCTGCGATGCACGGGACATGTACCTCGTCCTCACCTCCGACGACGTGCTCGTCGAGAAGTTCTGCATGAGCATGTGCGGCACTCACTACTACCTCTTCCCCTCGCAGACTGAGAACGCTCAGATGGTGCCATACGGATGGGTCGGCAACCCCGGCAAGCAGTGCCCTGGCCTCTGCAGCTGGCCTTACGCTCCTGGAGGCTTCGTCAAGCAGGCCCTGATCCCTCCCAACGGAGACGTGGGTATCGATGGAATGATCATCACCATCGCCAACATCATCGCCAGCATGGCCACCAACCCTTACGACAGCGGCTACTACCAGGAGGGCAGCCATCTCGAAACAGCTGCTGTCTGTCAAGGCATGTTTGGAACCGGCTCCTTTTCTGGCTATCCTGGTGAGCTTCTCGTTGACAAGGCTACCAAGGCTAGCTTCAATGTGTATGGAGCATCGAATGCTAAGTTCCTGCTTCCATGGATTTGGAACCCAGTAACCAAGCAGTGTGCTGGCCAGGTCTGATGGAACCGTTCTCGAGCTTAGTCAAGCACCGTGCACGGCATCCTTGTTATATGGGTATGTGAGGGTGGTTGCTCATTTCAACCTGTGGAACACTGCTTCCGGGGGTTTGTATATAAGATCCTGGATCGATAGTAGAGCGACAGCAGTCTCTCAGATGTGTAAAGACTTGAAATTATTAGTGGTTTGTTTGTGGGAGCTCTGTGCCTGAAGCATCGTAGTAGGTGATGTCTCGGGACAGGACGGAATAAGGTGTACAGCTTCAGTTTGGACTACTTAGATAATAGGCACTTCTTCCATACTCTGCAAACGAGAATGAAGGAAATCGTCGACCGAGAATTTGAGCCACAAACGCTGCAATTGTACATATAAAAGCTTATCAAAGGTCTTGACAGATTTGTTATGACCTCTTTGATAAACTCCAGAGAGTAAATCCAGGCTTATGCGAACACTCCTTTTCTTTCTCCAGTCCTGTTTTTCATGTGCTGGAATTGCTCTAGAGTCTTGGTCAGTTTGTACTCCAGTGCAGGTAAGCCTCGAGTTCTCTGAAGCCAACGAACAAGACAAACATTCCTTCATACTTTTCAATGGCTGATCAAAAGAACGTAAAACTGAGCTTAACTTATAAAACTTGTGGAAGCATGACTCAGACAGAATGAAGAGATGATTCATTTCTCTCTGAGGATTAAGCCTGCACCACGTGTTTTCTGAGATGAAGTCACGAAATCCATCACGACAAGCGCCTGGGATCGACTTCGAGAGTCGTCGAAGTGGCTCTGTGAGCCAAGGACTGTGAAACTTGGTAGACAGAATTCTCAGCTAGGAATCTCAGGAGATGTCTAGTGCTTCCTCTTTGTCTGTGATAGCTTGAAAGTGTTCAGAAAGTTGAACACTCCAGTTAACTTCTCTCCATCCGAATATCAACATAGCTCAAGCTCACAGAAGCAGCAAGGCAAAGGAAGGGAGTGAAGTGGATATCAAGCGCCACGGGAAGACTCCATCAACCTAAGGACGAAGAAAACGAATTGGAAACGAGGCATACCAATTATCTCAAAAGATCTACAAATAACAGTAGCATTTGAAGCAGATTCATCCTTACATTAATGGAAATACGCTATTTAAGTTACGCAGTAGGCAAGGCAAAGTAAGGCATACGATTACGTCTTGCCAAACGGTTGAGTCTATTAAGACCAAAGTCGATCCACCAAATGCTTGTCCTGAACCTCGTTTTCTCTTAGCTTACTGTGTCGGTCCGGTCGGGCCGCCTCTCACCTCAATTCACTAAATCAACAGCTTTCTGTCTATCAGTATTCGGATTCCAACAGGTTGATTCAACATAACACAGTTCGTGTTTGTAACAAACCCCGTTTGGATAGGAGCTTGGTATCTCCAATCTGGGATCTATGCCACAATCATAGATGTCCGATGAGTACCAGGACGTTTCTGAACAGAGCTACTACAGTTGATAAATGCGAATTTATGAGACTTAGAATAATGTTTTGATCCTTTATTGGAGAAGATGAAAGGCGCTTGTGGGATGAAATTCTTTATTCAAATTTGTACTTAACAACAAAGTAGTTATTTTCATAAACTACATCCAAGAAGTTACCCTCATCTATTGTCAATCAAGAGCTATAATATTTTTCGTCAATTTAACCATGATTAGCTTAAAATGTTTATATGAAAAGTAAAAATTTCACATCCCAGTTAAAGGAAAATATTAATTAAATTATTAATTTTAAATATGTCAATTTTTTTAATTTCATCATAAAGATTTGAAGTTCAACTTTACACTTAAGATTTAAATGAGAGTAAATGAAAGTGAAATCTACAGATTTTAACATAGCATATGCGATCATGATTAACTTGTGATTTTACAAGATGTGTAAAAAAAATATCATATGTATATTATGAATGTCTATGTAACTTTAAGAAACTGAATTCTATCCATATTAAAAGATCGATGAAGCTTAGAGTAATCATTATGAAGATCATAAGTATGATCAAGCTTTATGCTAAGATATTCTAAACTAGTTTTCCTTATATGCCTTTGGATTGATTATTTTGATGAGATAGTCTAACAATTTAAATAAAAAATCTCTAATGTGTTTTTAAGGTTTTGATCTTATTTAATTTGATGAATCAACAATGATAAATCAAGGTGTTGAATGTCTGAAAAAGATCATTTTAAAGTTTGATGGTTTTGCTTAAGAAATTGTTCATTTGATAAAAGAGCACACAAAAATTTGAATTTGGAATCTTATCTTGTCAAGTACATGTCATCTTAAAAGCTAAATGGATTATAAGTTATCATTTTAGCAGGAAAACTTATGATGTTTGTGATATTTATTTAAATTATAAAAAATATAATTATGATGTTAAGACTAAATTGAAATGAATTTGAATAAACGTAACTTTTGAGCTAGACTGATTTAAGTTATGATTTTTATTATAAAATAATATCATTGCATTACAAAATTCAGTTGATTATTTGATAATTTGTGTTATATTACCTTTTGAAATGATGATTTTATCTCGGTGTCATGGATACTGAAATGAAATAATCATTGCACTAGAAATGTAAAAAAAATAAATTTCGCTGCATGTGATGGATGATTAATCTTCTTAAATTTTGATATTGAAGATATTTTTCACTATCATTAAAATAATATTCAAAATATCATTAATATTTTGCATTCAATTATTGCAAATCTGAATATTAATTTCATTCTCATGTTGTGTATATAAATTGATAAAAAAAACTAATATGATTCATGAAACATTATTTTAGAAGATAATTTGTCATGTTTTACAATACTGTATCACAATTCTTATACAATAAAAAATTTGACATCTAAAAAAGAAAAAAAAATTGTAAAGCATTCAACATTACTTTAATAACAAATAAATATTTTTATAACAATAAAATATTTTTATAATAATATTATTATTATTATCGCCACATAAGCTTCCAATGTCTGGGAAGCTTGATATCACAAAGAAAGATTTATACAATTATAGCTTTGCTTGAAATCGCGTCATATACTCACAAGCATACTTCATCGCAGGTGTTATATGAATTTTTCTTTGTTGTTGTTAGAATAACAAGAATGGATACAATACATAGTGTGGCAAGGTACTTAAGTAAGCGCCTTGCTTGAAAAGATCGATGGTACTAAATACTAATCTAAGATTAATAGTACCGATTACCATCTAGAAAGTTACGCTTAAGACAAACATGTCTATTGATCTAAATTTGGCTATACTTAGTTTCCTCGGACTCGTAAGGACTTCCAACATCCCCTCTCAAGAGAATGTTTCTATTAGTGACGGCATTGGAAATTAGTGCCAGTATTATAGACCTTGCATAGATCGAACTCCCATAGCATGTCTGTGTTGTTTCAACTTGGGACAAGGCAGCGGTTTAGTGAATAAATCGGCAAGGTTATTGTCTGTGTGAATATAATCAAGCGCAATCTCTACCTCTAAAACACGTACTCTAATAAAGTGATGTTTTGCTTCAATGTGCATGGTTTTAGCATGAAAAACTAGATTTCGAGCAAGTTTGATTGCACCCTGATTATCGTAGGATAGATGCATGTCTGCCTCGGTTGGAGTAGCATCGGTCTTGAGTTCTTGTATAATTTGACTGTCAGCACAACCGATTGGAACTTGAGCAGGAGGTTGAACGTTGAGCTCCTGAAGAAAACGTTGGATGTAAACAACCTCTTTGTCATCCTCAGAAAGAGCCTTATATTCTGCTTCGATAGTACTGTCAAAGACAATGGGCTGTTGCTTGCTTGCCTATGAAACATGTCCAGAATCAAGTTGGAATAGGTAGGCATCAATTGACCGCCAAGTGTTTTTGCAACTGAGATAATCTGCATCTGTGAAACCTCGGAGCTGTGAAGGAATGCCATACTGATATAAAATGCCGTAGTACTTTGTAAAATTAAGATATTTTAGTATGTGAATCAGAGCAAGCCAATGCAATTGCTGAGAGGAATGCATGAATCGACTAACTAGATTGATAACATATGAGAGATTGGGTCGAGTATGGCATAAATAGATAAGTTTATCAACCAGGTGACACCAATGCAATGCATTAACTGAGGGCGCAGAGTTGCTAGCCTCAAGACGAGTACCCATTGGTAGTGAAATGATCTCTATCATACCATCAGATATAATAGATAAATTGATGAATAAATAGATCATCATTGGCCGAGCGGATAAAGTCAATCTCAAGGTAACGATTGACCAAATCCAGATCTTTCATCTTACTTAGCACCCAATTGAAGTTTGATTTCTGCAACTCTGGAGTTAATACTACTGAAGATGAGAATGTCATCTACATGTAGCATGAACACAGTACCGGTAGAACCTTCTCGGAGAAAATAGAAATTTGAATCAAGTGGGATACGGTTCCCGCCAGAGGCACAAAGATATGTATCTATCTCTGCATACTATTCTCTGGAGGATTGTTTCAAGCTGTATACGGATCTGAGAAGACGACATACCTTGTCTTTGTGGCCCTCAACTTCAAAACCGGTAGGTTGTTGCATGTATACAACCTACTTAAGCTTTCCATTAAGAAATGCAGTTATAACATCCATGTGGTGGATTACCACGCTAGAGATATCACTCTAGGGTGATATTCCATCCTAGAGATACTGCAAGGGCAATCATAGCTTGCAAGGTAGACCAGCAAATGATGGAAGCAAAAGTTTTGTTCAAGTTGACACCAAATTGTTGCTCCAGACCTCAAACAACCATTCTAGCTTTCAGTCGGATGCGCTTAGGGTTGCTCTCTTGCTTGGTTATATAAACCCAGCAAGATGTCACATTTTCAACCAGGGAATCAAGCGCCTCATGCATAGCACATTGCTAGCCTTTGTGGAATTTAGGCACATTGAACAAAATTTTATCATCCACCATCTCAGTTGATTCGACCAAGTTAAGAAACTTCTTGCCTGTCATGTGAAATTGATCATAGTAACTAGGCAGCGTGCGATTTTGGAAGAAATTGCGTCTTGATACTCTACCGATGACTGAGGCAAGCTCGCTGAAACATCTGGAACCTCTAATGGGAGTGGCTCGAGCCGTGGTGGTGATGTCGGATTGGTCGTGGGCAGCTCGGTCACCAGTTTGTCGTTGTAGTCGTCCATACCACAAAAGACATCAAAAAATTCCTATTGAAGAAAACTTTGTCCTATTGTCTTTGAAGATAACCATACCGTTGGAGATTATTAATATTTTGGCAATGAGGTTCCAACAACGGTAGGCACGAGAGTTTCCATCATAACCATATAGCACTCCATGAAATGCTTTGACCTCTAGTTTAGTTCGATTTGCTTGAAATCTATGCATGTATACATTGCATCCAATTGTCCAAAGATGTGAAAGATTGGGTATTGAACTGAACATTATTTTTAAGCGAGTAGACAAATTTGATGCTCGAATAGCACATCTGTTACGTACATAGTTGACCGCTTGTACTGTCTCTGTCCAAATGTGGGCATGTAATTGACAGGAGTTAAAAATCCATTGAGAAGATTCAATAAGTGTACGGTTCTTCTGCTAAGACACCCCATTCTAATGCGGAATGTAAGACGTAGTCAGCCAACGATGGATGCTTTTTCAAGTGAAATAATCTTTGAAGGCAGTTGAAGCGTATTTACTCCTTGATCTGAGAGGATGTTGGAGACTTTATGTGACCAATCATGGTCACAAAAGTTAAGATTAGCTACCTTATGTTGAAGGGATGTCTCCACAAGGGCAACAAAATGTTGGTCAGAGGTGAGAATTTTGCTCTTTTGCTTCAAAAATAATAAACTCAAGTAAACCGTGCGTAGTCGTCGGTGAGGGTGGGAACATAACAACAACCAGCTGACTGTAGCGAGGCACACATATTGCTATGTATGAGCTCAAGAGGCATGATAGCTCGTTTTGCTGATGTTTTCACCTTAGTAGAGCGATGGTGTTTGTTGAGGATGCAAGATTCACACTATTACTCCTTCCCGACCTGGAGGTAAGGCACGCCATCCACAAGATTTTTTTCAATCATGTGGTGGGCGACCTGATAATTCAGGCGACATAATCTCTTCTGCCACACATGGGTAAAGTCCATAGGTATCGAAGAGGTTGATGTAACCTTTTCGGAAACTCTAACAAATTTGTAAAGATTTGGCGGCCTTAGGAATCTACGAGCATGTTGAAGTGAGGACGAAAGCAATTTATGAGAAGAAGCACAAACTACGTATAGTTCATTTTAAATATCACGGTCAGCTCGAATATGCACAATTCTATTATGTAAACCATCTGTCAATATACAGAGCTTATTGTTGAACCATACGTGATGTACTAAGTACGTAAGTTTTCCAACTGAAAGTAGATTGCGAGTCAAGCTTGACACATACTTACAACCTTTAACATCCTTATTGTTGTCAAGAAATACAATGCTAGTGTCTACAATAGGCAGACAAGCACCACTGGCAATGGTGATGACCGATGACGAAGGTTGACTGTGAAAATCTACTAAAATGTTTCTATTGCATGTGACATGGAAGCTAGCTCCTGAATCCATTACAAACTCATTGGAATCATTAGAAACAAGGTTAACCTCTCGTCAGAATTACTAGCTAGGTAAACGTTAATGCAATCATCTATCCCCTCTGCAATGTTAGCTTGAATTTTGGCACGATGCATGTAGACAGCACGGAGTTGTAGTTGGAAAAATTGTTTCATCCAATTTTTTGAATTGACAATCACGTAAAAGATGATTGATCTTATTGCAATACTCACAAGGATCATATCGAGCTGCAAGCTTGTCATAACGAACACTAGTAAAATCACTTTCCACCCCTTGAGCGCAACGGCGTGAAAGAAGAGCGTTGCTTCAAAGTGAAAAAAAAAAAAGTTAGAGTGGGGACACCACAGTACCAAGCAAAGCTCTGCTGAATGATACGAAGATACAATAAAAAGGCATTGACAACTGCTGATGCCAAATGAGTGTGAGAATCGAAGTATCTATTGCGAAAAGTGCGTGTCAATATGGAAATATATCCACTGTGAAAGCAGCGTTCTTCTTCGTAAACACATAACTGAGACCATGTTGTATGAATAACAAGAATGAATACTGTACACAAAATGGCTAGGCGCTGAAGTAAGCACCTTGCTTGAATAGATCGATGGTACAAAAAACTAACCTAAGATTAAGCGTCTCGATTACCACTTTGAAAACTGAGCTTAACACAAACATGTTTAAGTATCTAAATTTGGCTATTCTTAGTTCCCTCATACTCATAAGGACTTCCAACATATGTTATATGGTTATATGAGTATTATGTGTGTATGAGCTAAATCCGCAAACCTCTTTGAATTTTGTTTTGTGTAGTTACCATTTTAGGTTATGAACGTAGGCAAATAATGTTGTTACTTATGTGAGATAATAACTTTAATCTAAATAAACCAAAATTATTTTTATTGCAACCAAGAAATTTAGCAAAAAGCAAATTTTTTTGTATATAATATATATTTTTGGCTACTAATATTCAGATCCAATCCACAATATCCATTATGGAAAAAAATCATCTTAAACATATTATATATCTACTAAAAGATATTTTTAAAAACTTTAGATATAATAGTGACAAATACATTAAATTCGTATCATATATATAAAAGAAAACGAAGAAAATCTAAAGGATGAATTATTAATCATTCACTATTCTTATGAAGTTTTCAGGTTAAATCTATCAAAAAAATTGATTCTTTACCGCACTCAATTCTTAGATAAAATTTCTTTATAAAAAAACATCAAAATAACATATATGAGAACTACATCAATATACCCTAACTACAAAGAGATCCAACTAGTTTTCTTGATAACCTTTAATCATAGATCAACTTAAGGTCATCGTCACCATCATAACAACTATATTGGAGCATAAGAGAACCTTTGTATAACTCTTTATGGCTGTTTCCAATAAAATGAAATGAAAAGCCGCGTATGAATTTTCTATCATGTCTAAGGGAAAACTGGTCGCTTCTACATGGATGAAAGATCTCCTCGACGATTCCATCATCCTCATGATGCTTTCTTTGGCGCCAGGAGTTCCATGAAACAGCGTTCACATCTGTTCAGATAGGGCGATCGATTATATGAGTCAGTGTTATGTTTGGGACTGATCCGCATTAATTGACATGTCGGGCATTTGTGGAGCAGCAGAAGGCTCCTATGACATCGCCCTTACAACCATACAATCTCGTACGATCTGAGCACTTCGTCCTCAAATCTTTCCTGGCGTCAAGATTCATGCCATAACATGCATTGCTTCGCATCACGATGGGCTCAAGCACGGGAAATTTCTCAGCGTAGGTAAGCCGTATGGCAATGAATCTCAGAGCTGAACGTGCCTTCACCTGTTGTCAGACCAATTACACCACGATGGGTATGTTCCACAGCATCTTCCGATGATACGGACGCGGAATTATTCATCTCACCGAGATCGCCTCTTTTATCGTAAGCTTGTCCAAGAAGATGCTGATGTCCACGCTGACACGGCTTCGTCACATCCTTATCATGCCATGTAGTCCCTGTGCCAAGGCCCCTCCCTTATCAGCTTAAACAAGGCTTCTGGGCGACGCGTGCTCTGAATATTGTCATTGTAGTTGAGGATTACGGTGGGAAACGAAGTCCTCTGACAAGGCCACAGCCATTCGTCTAGCTTATCCTCTGTTCGTGCCAGTATTCAAGTGTGTGCTCATTGCAGCGGTGCGCAACTTGAGGCCTCCGAATAATAATGCTAGGGAGCCTATTCTGAACCTTTCCGTCTTGTTCTCGTGTTTGAACTACCCAGACCAAAATACATAACTTCTCTTCACCGAACCTTTTCGATCTTTCATAACTTCTTCCTTGTTAGCCGGGACTTTTTTTCAAATAATTCGGTGGTCTAGATTATATACGTAATTAAGAGACTAGATGAACTCGACGTCAGGTCCACCTACAGTATACACTGGCCGTAGGGAGAGGATTTGTATATAATTATCTTCCTAATAAATCTAGTTGACTTACATTCTATTTAATATCAACTGTTTCAATCACCTCATAGAATTTGTTTCAATCACCTCATAGAATTTGTCCTCGCAATATCAGCCCAATCCATTGCATCCAAATACCCGAAGAAACTCTTGGCGGTTACAAATTGGATTTGATGTCAGGTTGAGCATGTCACATACCAGTTTAATGAAATCATTTGATTAAGAATACATCTTGCCTTGAACAAGACATCAATAAACATAGCTTCTGAGTATTTGCAAAATAATTTACTTTCTTTGCAATACTTGCCAATTCTGGAAAAAAAAATTCATCCAAGAATTTGATCTTTCAACGTAGAAACTATATCAAACTTAGTTCATCCACAATTCCTCAATTTTTTAACTCAGTGCACATCTGGATGTGTGGTCATACTATATTGTATCGATCATATGTGGGATAAGTGACTTTGAAGAATAAAGCAAATAGTAATTGTCTCATCCTCTGCACTACCTTGCTTGATGTTAAATGAATATTACTAACCAATTGATATAGAAATTTTACTATTTAAAAAAAGTACGCTCAATCTAGATGATTATTACTAGAGCAGTGAACTTGTGCACTAAGTTATTTGATTATAATTTAATCAAGTTATAATTCCATCGAGTGGATTGCCAAAAACATTGAATCGAAATTGATGAAGAGTTTGTTGTATCCCTTGAAACTAAAATCTCAAACTAATGAAAAAGTTATTCCGATCTATTTTTGTATTTAATCTGATTGCTTCTGAAAACATTTCATTCACTTTGGCATTATATTAAGCTCCAGAGATTCAAAATTACGGTTATGCTTTGACCGCGCTGCATAATGCAAAAGCAGACCCCATATGACTCACATTTGAACATTACATTCATAGGCTTTTGAATAAGCAAACCTAGATGATTCTAGTTTAGATTCGAATTCAAGATTTAGATTTGCGCTCATAGTAGATTGCAGTCTTAGTGGGGAAACATGAGAAGGCTTCAAAGAACAGCACCAACGGTGAAGTATAGCGAATTTGATTATTTGATTTGAAAAATCCGTCACTGTAATTTGAATCGGAGCACGGAGGTGTTTGAATTCGAGGCCCTCTGGCGCACTATTTTGAACTGGCACGCATCGGCGAAACGTCCATGCCAGTTAGGACCTGAGAAGCTCATGGGAAGCAGAGGTGATAAATTCAGGTGTCTAACGAAGACAAAGCACATAATTCTTCCCAGCTTCCCACGAAATTGTTGCTTGGCACCATGGTTCGCGTCTGCAAAACCTGTAGTCCGGGAATCTCAGAGGGTCCATCTTCTCGGAAACCTCCTGAGAAAACTACTAAATCCCGGAAATCTTCAAATGTTCAGCAGAAGCCAAAAAGTTCCAAAAAACCGCGAATTTGTGGACATAGTGATGAGCCAGAATGTCTCGCAGTTGTCAATCTACCTCTTTCTGGAGAGCCTTCCAACGACGCGTTTTTAAACTCACCAAATTTCGTTGATCACACGAATAAAAATATGGTGGACGGCGGACCCCCTCGATTTTCAGACCTTTTAGAACAGAACTCTGCTTCAGTTCAAGAAGCTGCACTGGACCCAGACATGCCGGTGCCACTGAATCAGGCACACCCAGCTTTGCAGAAGCTTTTTCCGCAAAGCTTGCGTTCCTATCCGCTGAATCCGCCCGTGCTGTCAATTACACCAAGTAATTTTCTCAGTAAAATATTGGTTCTCACGGAGATTTTTCTGCAAATTCTGCTGTCATTGCAAAGGCATACTCTTATTTTTCTGCTGTGGTCCTCTTTGGAACTATCTATACAGACACGCGTGCATCTTCTGGCATTAATTTTCTCATCTAGTTTTTTTGCTGTTAGGAGTCAATCAAGGTCCGACTATCGGTATAGTCGGTGAATCGCTTCAACTTCAAAAGGAAACCTCCAATGACACAATTCGGGCTCAAATTATGGTACAAGACTCCACAGATAATTCCCTCTTGATTTTTTTCAGATTGTTGGTGGAGTATTTAGACCTTCGATCTTTTTGTCAAGTAAGCTTGACTAGAGTCACCAGGCATCTAACATCTGGACCATTGCAACGCCGCCGTCTTGCAGGAGTGTTTGAAGGATTCGAATTTTCGAGGTGACGTCGAACCGGCAGATTGAGATACAAAGAACTTGACTTCTGTTTAGTGGTAGAAAAAAAGACATGCCAAATATGCTAAAACAAGAACTGCATATGCGAGGAACTGCTTTATTTAAACTTTGTTCATTCGATAATTTGTGATTACGATCCCATATGCATCTAATCGAACAGAAATGGATTTTTCCAGAGTACTTGACCATGGTGGAGAATGCATGGCAAGACCTGCAACGTTCGACGAGAGAGGATACCGAATACGTTGCACGATTTATCGCAGATTACTATAAAGACACAACAGCCGATGGAAACTTCTGAGGAACAGCCTGAAAGCTCTCCAGTTATACCTTAAACAGAAGATAATTTCAAGAAGTACAGAGATAGAACTCCCTTTGATTAGGATACACATTCCGAATCCTCCGTGAGTTGGAGTAGTCTTTTATTTAGAATTATGAACAACTTTTAGAACTTCTGCAACAAACTACGGACACTCTTGATACTCTTCATAATCGTCTTCATTTCGAATTATAAGCCTCCGAGTTTTTGTTAAGCACCAACGGTTTTTGAGATTATCTCATGTTATTTGTTATGAAGGAATCACCAGACTTTCCCATTTTCAACCAAAACGCTGCGACTGAGTTGGCTACACCTCAGCTTCCATTGAATGAAATTCTCATGCGCTTTTGAATGACTTTACTACCATCCGCTTGCCTTAGAAAACGAGACGTAAATGTGTCTGGACTGAATTGTATAAGTACATGGCACGGGCGGAGTCAAAGGCACTGACAATGATAGAGAGAAATGAATTGGTCTAGAGATTCTGTATTGCAATCATGTAAAGTGCGAACTCAGTCGGCATGAGGCCACTACTCTTTCCAGTGATCTGTCGACCAACCGATTTGGACTCTACACAAGACTGGAAGCTTTCTTGGCTCCACTCCTCGTCTTTGCAGAGACTGCTATCTCAAACGAGAATCTTTCTTCATGCAATGATCATGACAAAGATAAGCTGATCCACCAGGCCGACCTTATGTAGCCGACCTGCAGCGAGGTGATTCTCTCATCTCACTTCCATTTCTTCGTGAATGAGAGTACCTGATCTGCGAACTGCTCCGACTTAGCAGTCTTATCCTAAAATCTGATGCTCTTGTTGGTTGCCTCGAACAAAAGTAGAGTTCAAGGTAAGATGTTAGATTCGCCAAAAGCCTTTCACTTGTCCTCTGCCTCCTCTTTCCTGTTAACTTAGTGCTCCCTTTCTTTCTGGTCACTACTCGTGTATCGTCAGAGAAAAGTCAAAAAGGACTTTGGGTGGGCATTCTGACAATCATGCTCGGGTGCATCACTTGGGTGGGTTCTATTCACTCATAAAGAAGAAAGGATACGGCACTAAGCTAACGATTTCGGACTCCAATCGTTTGGAAAATCATTATGTTCTTTACGAGATTATATGAAACTCTCGGACGAGGCTCTGACTCGTGGAAGACTACGTGTTTGGGCACTTCGAGGTTTAATCGAGGTTTGTGGATTACTACTCCACGTATCAAGAGAATATCTTACGACTCTGCATGTGTCAACCCTTGTATTTTTCCGTAGCTACTCTAAGCTCACAGACCAGAGTGCTCGTACATCATTCTTTGTATTGTGTTAGATTTGAGTCTCAACACAGCACTTTGCTGGCCAAGTCTAGATTGAAGCAATGCTGCTTATAGACCTCCGTGCGTTCTACGAAGATGCCACGTGTTTCAAAGGTTGGCATGATTACTGTATTATGGGCGACTGAGCTGCAGGAATAAAATATACGGCTCTGACTTTCTTTAGCCCTTCGTGGGTGTCAGAGGAAGGACGCGTGTGAAGCTCCATTCCGTCGACGTAACATCGTCGTGATAAGTTGCGCAACTCCTCGGTGAATTTTCTCACCGAGCTATCGAAGCACAGGCAAGATATTTTCTCGGAAACTAAGAGTGCTCTTACTTTCGCTTTCTGGATGCAATGCGGTATTGAATCTATTCCACTGACCGTACAGCTCGTTTTCTCGCCAACCCTTTTGCCCGTAAATCAAGTAAGATGATGTGACGATGAGGGGTGAGAATCATGATATCGTAAGCTACACTATACTGAGCAGGTTGAGGTGAGGGCTCGAGTCTAGAGTGCTACTAGCTCAATGCACATAGCTTCACCGATATTTTCACATGAACAATCAAGCGACGGATGGCTAAAAGTGGTAGTTGGTTGGTCTCATTTCCCTGTCAGCCGTATTGAGCCTAGCATGAGTAGGCAATCTGCTTCTCACGGCATGCAGATCCCAAGATCGAAATCTTAGGGTTCGAGAATTGGGTCATCTGATGGTCATAAGAGATTTGAGTGTGAATGAGATGCGCGTGGAACAGGTAAGCCTTGTTTCCCGCTCCAAACCATGGGCTCAGTCAGCGCAGATAGGAAAAGATTATGAATTTGTTGATATGAAAAGTTCAGATTCTTCAATTGTATATTTTCAAAGTAGGGTGCCTTCAAAGCGCACTGGGATCGTCTCGACCAAAGTTGAAACCAGTCGCTGTAGCACTTTTCTCTATTAACGAAGAGATACCCACCCACACACAAACATGCACACACAAATGGAATGAAAATCTCAATGTCTTTGAATTTCATTTCACGGCTGATTTTCAACTTAGATCGAAATCTCGAGCTTCTTCTTTTCAGGCCCATTTTCCGATTCATGACGAAAGAGTGACTGAACGATGCAGATACGGGAGAAGATTATAATCAAGAACCCACTCATGAAAAGGTGGCAATCTATAGATATGCCCACTCCGGCTACGAGCTAGGCCTAACGTTTAGCGTAGAGATGATTGCTAGGAAGAAGCAAAGTTCGATGGATGGAAGAGAGGAGCAGCACTGATGCCTTCAAGGGTGGAGCGTTCGTACAATGGCGACAGTCCCCGATTGGGAAAGTACACGACGGTCGTAGATTTGACATAAATGTTGGCAGGCGCATGAGACCAATCACAGCGTCCTTTAGACGGGTCGTAGTGTCGTACTTTGGATTCGTCGTACGCAGGGCGTCGTCTCCCAGCTTCAGCCTCGCAGACTCGCAGTCCACGGGCTCTACCGCATACCGCTGACTGCGTCGTATGCTCGTAGACCAGCGTCTTGGACGAGGTAGGATTCCGGTCCCGCGGAATAATCCACGCGTACAAGTCAGAGTGCACGGAGCCAACTGTTCTGTCGTGTTCATAGGTCAAAGGATGGAAATTCACCGCTGGTAGTGTGGACATCGGTGAGGGAGCACGCTACATTTGTGCCGACAGTTGAATTCAATGAATTTGACGGGAGATTGTGTCTGCTATTTTTGTCTCGGACGGCATATGAATGCTCGATCCTTCCTGCGTATAGTTTCAAATTTTCTCAGCAGGTGACGATTAATATTTCGTTCGTTGAACTTGTGTATTTTACTGAGAAGTATTCTGTTATTGAAGAATTGAGTCTTCTCTTCACTTTTCAGAGTCGATACCCTCTCTACGACAGGAAATTAACTTTCAAACTAGCCATCTTTCTTCCGTTCTAGCAGAGACTTTACTTTTCTCGACATATATTTTTTCCTGTGACAATTTTTGCACTACATCGGCTTGACACGTACCAAAACTTTTCTTTTTCCTGATTTGAGAAAAGAACAGTTTCATTTGAGTTACTAGTTTTTCTAGTAGCGGTACGCGAGAAGTTTAACCAATTGTGTTGGTTAAACATATTTCTCCCAGACTCCTCCAAGCAGAAGCAAAGAGCAAACGGCGAGGCCAGCAAATATCTGTGTGAGTTTTGACATATGCTGATGCAAGGCAGAAGTCACATCGGCACGTGAGGGATTTAACTGCAGAGGCTCATCTGATCACTGAAAATTGCACGGCAATACTGCAAGTGTACAACTTGGAAAACTTAATTCCACATCAGATTTCAGAAATTCATGAGTTCGTGCCCTGCTTTCATGCCAACGCTACTGCCTGCGTTGGTGAGAAACCAAGCGTCTCCAGACGCATTTCGTCTTCCGTGTAACGCAGCTTCATACCATCTCACGTCGACCCTTCCCAAATCGAGCTGATCGATCGACACCTTTCGCTCACTAAGCTGCTGTCAGTTCTCTCTCGCAACACCCACGGATGGATTGCTGACTACAATCATAGTCGGACAGAGAAGGCAAATGGGAGGAAGAGAATCGAAACAAGGTCGCAGACGAGAGAGATCGACAATCCAAAGCGATGACGGAGAGAAAGGTGCCACTATGTATTCCAGTTTATAGAAATGTAATGTACACAGGGTCAAGAAAACACCCTCTTGGGCTTCGTGGAATCTGGACAAAACTGACCTTCACACCTACGCACTAATCCCACCACGACCTGGCAGGTGCTCAGCTCTTGGCACGTCCGACAGATCCGGTTCAACCTAACGCATGCCAGAAATCTTCGAGGAATGTACATAGCAGTCCGCCCCACACAAGCAAGCGCGCGGCTTGATGACAAAAATGGGTGACTTATTCTGGGCATGGACATATCTGCGGGTTGGCGAGACGCAACTCTACTAAACTCATGTTACAATGGTGCCTAGTGCACTGCTCGTCCTCAGAGGCCCGCCGCTGCTCTGCGAGCGAGCCCCGCTGGATTTTCACGTGACGGTGCGCGCGGTCGCGTGCCGATCACCGCTGCGCGCGCGAGTGCCTGCGCGACAGGCGACGCCATTTGGGCGTCTCGGCGGTCGACGTCTGCAACATCGACCACATCAGGTGCACGTCGTCATACCCACACGAGCGCACGTCGTTGTAAAGTCTCCCCATGCCGCGTGCTGCACAAAGCGCAAGGAACAGTCAAAATTAGTTTGTGATTCGACGGCAAATGCGCGGTGATACGAGCTTCTGTCACAGGCCATGCTCTTACTTCCTTTCGGAGGAGCCTCGAAACTCTAAACTCTGACCAGGGGACCGGCATCAGTGCCGGTCCTCGAGTCGACGATTCGAACGATTCATGAAATCAGCATAATCGAAATGTTCCGGGCTGGAGATCTGTGAATCCGAGCTAAGAAAACGGTGGGCACATATGAGATTCAGAGGCTGTGAATCGAGAGGAAGGCAGGAATTCCAGCAATTGTGACGAGAGACAATCGAGAAGGGTCGAACTATATCGAGCAATTGGAGTTGGAGGGATCTCAATCTATCGAGGAATCGTCCACCTAAACCCTCGGCTCGATCCAGAGGCCGATCGATCCGAGAGAAGATCTAGAGCGGCAGGGGCGGAGTGACAAACTTACATCGCTTGTGAGACTGGTGGATGTGTCTGCACGAGACAATGTCCCATGCTCGGCGAAAAGGTCCTGCGATTTTCCTCATCCAGCCCATGGCTTTCTTCCGACCCTGCGGTGACACTAACCGCTTGGCACGGGGCGCAGCGTCTACGAAGCTGCTGCTGCCGGCGCTGCTGGAGCTGGGGCTCTTGCCGTGTGCTCCACCGCTGCTGATGCTGCTGCTGCTGATACTGCTATTGCGACTTCTGCTTCTCCTCGTGCACCCCAACGCAACCACGGCTCCGCTGTCGCTGCTGCTGCTGCTTATGCTACTTATGCTGATGCTGCTGCTGCTGCTACTCCCTCCTCTTCTTTCTCCTCCACCGAAATCAGCACCGATCTCCCTCTGTCTCACGCCCGCGCTCTTCTTCTTAATCCTCAACTTCTGCATGTTCTTCTCCACGCCCTCGCGGATTGATCGCGCTAGCGCCATCCGCCGCGTGTTCTCTCTCTCTCTCTCTCTCTCTCTCTCTCGCCTTCCTCCCTTCCCCGTTTCCCCCTCCCCTTGCGTCGCTTGCTTGCTTGCTTCCTTCCTTCCCTTAACCTGCCGCGGCTCCGCTCCTCGTCATCCTCCCCAGCGCCAACTACTACTGCCTGCCCTGCTGCTACTGCCCGCCTTCCCTCCCTTTTCTTCTCGCGCTTCCCTCGCACCGGCCCGGCCAGTCACGCTTTTCAAAACCCTAAACCTTCGCGCCGGGATATCGCCGGTCGCTTTCAATACTCTCTGACCCGGGGCGCTTTTTCTTCCCGAGGACGCTCTCGTTGCGTTACTCCACGTTCGCTGCGCAGACCACGTTTTTCGCTCCGTCGGTCGCCCTCCGCTGACGGAACGCTGCGCGGTCCGGACCGGAGTGCTCGCCGGGGTCTCGGGGGCGGTCCGGGCGACCGATACGGCCTCAGATAGGCATCCGAGGAGTAACAGATAGAGGGGTTTGAATTGAATTGAGCGCGATCTGCCGCGCGGTCCCTCGGGCGCCTGGTGACGATGTGTCGTGGCGGGGCTGCGTCCGGTCCGATCTGACTACCTCCTGCCTCTGCCACGCGTCCGTCCGTCCGTTTCTTTGGCGGCCGGCCTCCTGGTGTGCGCAGCCTGATCACTTCTGCGTCCGTCCTTCCAAACCTGCCGCAAATTACAGCTGGGCAAGTGGTTCTTACGGTCTCTGTTTACTCAGTAGCACCCACTCGAAGCCGAGACTCCACGTGTTGCGTCCGGGTCCCGGTCTTTCTCCACGTGTCCTGTACTGCCGTAAAACCTTTGCCCACCAGCCCATTCCTGAGACATGCTGTTTACTCTCGTGACGCCATGGACCCGGACCTGTCAACGTAGGCCCTCCCGAGACTTAACCTCTGGTTCGTACCCTGGAACCCTCATGCAATATGCTCCCTTTCTCCCGTCGCTGCGTAGCCATCGCCATTACAAAACCTTTCTTTTCTCTTCTTTTCTCTTCTTTTCTCGAGATCTTTCGAGCTCGACATCAATTTTGTACTTGCTTTCCTGGCCATTGGTGCCTCACGGTCGAGCTGATTTTCTGAATGTTCTGGCCATGCAAATCGGTTTGCTCGCAGTTTCCCAAGTCTACTTCCTAGTGCCCCTTACGTGTTAACTCTACCGCCTCGTCTGACGACCCCGGCCACCCCTAAGCATGAACAGGCCAACTTTTGACTTTCTCCGAGAAAGCCGAATTCAAGTCTATTGAGTCCCTCCGGACCATTAAACATGAGCAGGTAATAATCTTTACATCTCCGAGTTTCCAGCTAGAGTGAGCTGAGACTGGGGATCTGAGGTGATCGAGCTGACTACGGCAGCATGCTGGAAGCGAGGACCACTTACGAGATCTGTAGACGTCGTTTGGACCTGTTATTTCCTGATTAAGACTTTCAAATATCTGCGAACTTGGACTATAGACCACCACAGCAGTCCATCCTGACATCCAACAGCAGTTCACACGATTAGAAGATTGCACAACTGAGTCTCTCTCTGGTCGGTGAGTGCTGGTGTCTGGCTTGCCTCTGCAGTGAGATGAAATACCAATCTGTGAATGTCCTGGTTTTTGCAGATAATCACTTTTCTTTTCATTTCAGTGATAGAGACCTTTGACGGCTTTTAACTGAGGAGAAGAAGAGCAGATTAAGGTAAACTATGGCCCATGTAGTTTCTCGAATATGGTCAAGGTCGTACTTGTACGAGCATACAGGACAGTATAGTAAATTGATTGCATGTATACGTAGAACATTGAAGATACCGTTTCTCCTATTTCAGACACAGTTTTCATGAGAATCAACAGGAGGAACACTAATTCCTATTGTGGCTTTGAACAGCCATTAAAAAATCATATCACAGCGTCACACTCTGGAGAACATGACTGCTCGGCTGATGATAACTTTGGTACGTCTTGACTCACATTCAGCTCTCATGATTTGTCGGCTTCTCTGAGATATTTCAACTGACTGGAACTCGACTTATCACAAAAGCTCCACCGAACGCCTACTTCTCGACGAGGTTGCGGAAGTTGCAGAACAAATTCTCCTTCACGACCCTTCCTTTAAACATTCGGCCTCCATGTTCTCCCTCCCCCCTCCCAAAAGGTCTAGCCAACGAACAGTAGATTTCGAGTAGAACTCCCGAACGCGATCTGAAGAGTCAACGAATTATCTCAATGAATGTCCACTCCCCCCCGCGATGATCTCGGAGCTTTCACCAAATGCGACAGGATTCCGGGATTATAATGTTTTATTATCTTCACGCGGTATATTAATGTATCACGATCCCTCTTTACATATCCGAGTACTGCTGCACAATCGAGATCTTCTCGGCAGTTCCAGCAAACAGCAGCAGTGACTCCTCTATCTCATGAGTCGTCCCTCTCCTATATTAAGAATCTCGACCTCAGTATCATCACAGATTCCGATTTGATCCAAGAGGACGAAGCTCAGAAACTGGTCGACCTAAATTATCCAATCGTGGACTCCCGAATCCGAGAAAGCAGCAGGTTTAGTCCATTTACAATTGAAGGCTTTGAGGCTCCCGTCGTCGGATTCCCCTCGTCGCCATAAATCCATGTCATGTACAACATCGTTCTACGTGATTCCACTCATGAACACCGAGCCGCTGGTCAAATTTGGGGATCTCTACGCACGTCGACCACGTTCGGCCGCAGCCCTGCGACTCGATAGATAGCTCGGACCAAATCCCGGGGGGCCGGACAGGGTCCGATAAACGTTGCGCGAGACCGGCCGCCCGCTATGCCCTCCTCCGGTTGAGGAAACTCGGCCCTCCCTCGCGCGGGCGACGGGTTACCGGGTGGCGATCGCGATCCTCACCCGGTGAAGACTCGTACGATTCCGTCTGGTCCTCCGAAAGCAGAGCTCGGTCGACGTCGGATAAGCTCGTCGAGCTCAAAGGCGGCTCACTTGCGGCTGCCACAGGGGACGCCGTAAGTCGTCGACTTGCACCATTAATTTTTTCGTCCTGCCTGCCCGCCCGCCCCCAGAGGGAGCGCTTTTCTCATTTTGGCCAGCCTCCGTCACGGGACGGACCGTGCCCTGCAGTTCGCAACTCGGGATTCCGATGACGAGAAATGACAGCGACCGCCGAATTTCATCGGCAGCTCACCGCCGGGTTATCCATGCCTAAGTGGTTGTATTTTGGTGTCTAGTGCATCATCGGGAATTATTATTATTTTGAGACTTAATTCGGAAGTCAAGATATCATGAACCGAATGCTAAGGATTGAATTGAATTTGGTCATGGCAAGGACATCTTATCCGAGCAAAACGGTCGCCGGTTTGGAGTCATGCGCGGACAGGGCGTTCTTTTCTCAGAAAAGAGCAGGAACAATGCGGTTCGGATTCCGGCGCTCGGAATGAGGAACCGTGTTGGGCACGGGGGAGAGATAATGGACTGCAGTAGAAAGGTAACTGACAAACTTCATGGAGGAGTTAGTGGGAAGAGTACTCTGAAAGAGAGCCCTGTACTTGCGAGCGGAAGAAAAGGTGGTCGGCTGAACGGACGGACTCATCAATCACGTCAGTTACGTCACTAGCTTTTCCAGGAAGCGCCAAATGCATTCAAATTCTTTCGACCGAGCGTGGAAGGTGCGGGGAGGAGTAGAAGATTCCCGAGGCGGTAGCATTTTTTCGGAACAGAAACCTGCCCTGCCCTGCCTGCCCAAAGGGAAAGGGGAGGGCACGAGATATTTGTCCCGATGCGGGGCGCCACGTCTGCCCGGGGCCGTCCGATGGGCGAATCGTCTGCTGGAAGGCGACCCCGCTCCCCGTACGAGAACTCTTTTCGCGGGGCGGCCCCATCTGGGCCGTTTTCCTTTTCTTTCGTCCCACGTTTCTAAAGCGGGCAGCACCTTGATCTGACCGGATCGCAATTATTACGAGACGCGCGTTTTATTGGCAGAGCCTCTGTCCTCCCAGTTCCAGCGGGTCAGACTTTGTCTTGTTCGGACACCAGAACTGGACGGAATCGCCCTCTATCCGTCGCCCATAAAAGTTCGAAGAACAGCAGACGGCCGAACCAATGGATCCATAGCTTTACCGTCAATCCCGAACCTACCCACCCGGACATTCATTGGGACCAGAGGATCTCAAAATAGTCATTTCCAAAATATGACACATTCGCCAAATAGATCTCCGGGTTAGCATGCAGTGCGCAACATTATATTGCGGCTGTATTCGACAAGGTTCGAACCTTCCAAAGAAGTCACCTAACCCGGAATATAATCGAGTGGGTAACATTGTACTTTACCCCAATGTGACCCTGCATAGCTACCTGAACTTTCTGTATGAGCAAATGTTCCGAAGATAGTGATACTCTGTACGCATTAAGGTCCATGAACTTCAAAGTTGATATATAAACAACCCACAAAATGTTCATTCTTAGTTTTCTATGGGTTGTGAAACATTTAGTTGCACCTGCATTTAACGAGTTTCGAATCTCTCAAAGAAGCTGCCTAGCTCGGGTTATCAAGAGAGCTTGAATTGTGCTTTATAAGAAAAATGTTACCCTATCTGGACATAAAGGTTGATATGATAGTATTACCCAGTAGCCATTGATACGCTTCAAGTCCAGAAGTGAATCCTAAACAGCATCAATTCATTTAGTTCTCTTTTTATCGGTCATCTTTTTGTTACTATAGCCCTTATAAGGAGCTATGAAAGTCCACTTTGACACACATTCTTGCAAGAGAGTGGGCAAGACACTATCTAACTAGGTGGCCGTTACAGCAACATATCTATCTTATTGTATAGTGCATTATAAGCACTTTGTTCTCATTTCTACAAGGAGACCACTAGCGAGTGGTGCATATAGGAGAGCAGTCACTTAATTTTCACACTTTTATTTGTAGACAGTTTCACATATTTTTTATCATGATACTATCGTGACTCCATGTTACAGGTTCCGCTTCATACATTTACCATCGATGTGGTGTCCCATCCTCCTTGTTCTCTTCTTATTCTATATTTCATTCTCAAAATATCACAACTCAGTTGGTTTTGATTTCGAGGGCTGCGTCTGTCGTGGTTCGAACCTAGAGCGATGTTCCCTAACCCGAGTCACCATCGAGACGCTTCATCTTGTGCTC